TGGTATTTGAGTTTTATATGACTAAGTTCATATATATAGTCTATGCTATCAATATTTATTTTCTTTAACAATACCATGACCATAGTGTAGTTAAGAAAATATGAAAAGGATGTATAAAAAATACATATGAAAAGGAAACAATTCAGGAGACAAATTTGGGATTTGATGAGAAGCATATATACGTTGTTTTGCAAGATTGAAGGGACAGCTGGCGCTGACGAATATGAAGATGGAAAGAAAAGCAAAAAATACAAGTGTAGCTGCACAAGAACGGTGCCGACTCGTACTCTTCAAGCATCTATCTATCCGTTAATTTAGGACTCGCATTTTCATTTTCTGTACGTAAGTGTTTGGTTTCTGTTTTAATGTAAACTTGAAGGACAAAGCGTAATCAAAGAACTAAACTAATAAGGATAAAACACCTGCTGAAAGCTAATTAAAAAATAATATTTTTTATTATTATTATTTTTTTGTAGGGGAGAAAATTAATAAATGTATATTTTGGAGGCTTAAAATTGCAGAATGACTTCATGGTTAGTGCGGAGTTTGATTGGATCTCATTCAAAACTATTTTGAAACCTATAGAAAGAAGCAATTAAAAACGGAAACGAAAAGTCACCTTGTTTAATAACTCTTCCTTTCTTGTACTCCAAGCCAGCATATTTCCTTTTTCATCTCATATTTTCTTTTGTTTTGAATAAGTATGAGAGTTAACTTTTGAAATATTGTACAATTGTACTCGAAAAAACTTATACCGAGAGATTACTAGGGGAAGACAAAAATATTTCTGTTAAGAATCTTGAGATACACCATTTCAAAAGCTAGCTCAAGGAGTGAGAGTGCTTAAGACCTTATAAAGGCCATATTAGTTGTTCATCCAATCAATGTGGGACTATATATCTCAACACGCCCCCTCACGCAAGAGCCCTTTAGGCTAGAAGCGTGGAAATTGCACAGGCTCAATTTTGGTTTACCTTTTTTGTGCTTTTTTTTTTTTAATTCCACTTTTTAAAGCGGGGGACGGTGAGGCTCTGATACCATGTTAAGAACCTTGGGATACACCACCCCAAAAGCTAGCTCAAGGGGTGAGAGTGCCCAAGGCCTTATAAAGGCCATATTAGTTGCCTATCCAATCAATGTGAGACTATATATCTCAATAATTTCCCGTAAAAGAAATTTATATTATTATAATCAGTCGATAATATAATATTTATTTTTTAAAAGTCTCTACTATAATATTAGAGTTTAATTATTATAATGATGTGATAATTTGTATTTAGTTATAGCATAAGATATTTTCATTGATCGAATTTAAACTATTATTTCATATTTGTGGTTATAAAGAATAAATATAAAAATTTGAAAACTATAAGGTTTTAATGTTTTGAATATAATTATATATAATGCAGTGCTAGGATAAGTTATACATACAAAGATCCATTAATATTTTAATATATCATTGTTTATTATCTTCATTTAAATTATCGAGAGAATAAAATGAATGTCATGTCAAAATATATTTTAATGTAAACTTCCTTTAAAATGAGACTGTATATTAATTGAACTCTAATGCTTTTTTATTCTTTATAATAATAATAATGCTCATGTCTTTGATTACTCTTAACGAATATTTCTTTGTCATCAATGGCATGAACCTATAACCAAATCATGCCTTTACCCTTTTGGAGTCACAAAATGGTCTGTTACTTCTCCAACTATATATGGTGTGAGTACGTTGGCCGGGGTTTGTGTGTCATCTTGGATGTGTATTATGTTGACCGATAATGCTGTTATTTGTTGAAGTTTATAAGGCTTGTCAAATCTTACTCATTCTAAGTACATGAATAAATAATTAGTGCTTCATATGTTACGGGGAATATTATATTTACAAACTTTTTATTTACAAACTCTTATAAATTACATTAAGTATGACCGGTCATACACTCTTGAAGTATGACCGGTCATACATAGTATAATTTGTAAAAAAAATTATAAACGGATCCTTTCCTATGTTAAGATATAAAAGATAAAATTATTTCTTACACACATAAAAATGTGTGGAACCTATATTTTTTTTCTCCATTCTCTTCATATGACCCTGTATAGGTTTCATAAATTTTTATGTGTGTACAAAGATAATTTTATTTCTACAAGAGAAATCAAATCCATAAATAAATTCAATTTATTCTTTATATATTTTTAACTGATAAACTTGGTATGCGGTAGATACTTTCGCTCTTTTAGTTTATAAAATGTAAAATGTATATAAAGACAATAAATATAGGAAAAAATGTTTATCTTTTTAAATGACACAACTTATATTTTTTCACTCTGACAAAGAGGTGAGACCCACACCTTTATGTTTTTTGTCAACTCTCTTTCCTTTTTTATCTATCTCTTTCTCTCTCTTAAAATGACACAACTTTATATCCTTTAAAATGACACACACTTTACCCATAAATATATAAGATTTTGTTAAAAATTTTGAGACCATATTTTATGATTTTGGTATTTATAATATATTTATCCTCACATGAAAGTGATGTGAAAATTTTACACAAAATGATTCATTCTTATTACATTCATTGACCCCAAGAAAATTAAAGTGAAGTTGGCTTTGGGGTTTCTTGTTTCTTTAGGTTAGCTTTACCAGGGCCTTGTGAAACAAACCGTTGACAATGTGTGTGTGGGTTTGAACTTTGAACCAACATTCTCTCCTTCCAAAATAAATAAAATTTCTAAGTTCTGTTGTACATTTGAATTTATTTATTAAGCATATACATGGATTAATTTGTAACTGCCCTTATAAAAAAAGTGACCTATAGAATGTTTGGCAAGTGATGGAAGCATAGCTACACATTATATGAAAGTTGAAAACACTAAGAATGGAAAATTCGAGAGGTGTGTTTTTGTTTTGACCTTTGTATCACATATGTGAGCTGGGAAACGGATCACAACAGTATGATACTAATAGAATATCCTATGATCAATATAGGTGATGGGCCATTCCCTTAATTGGGTGGCCTAAAATTTTTGGTCCCCCCCACCTTTCTAGGGGACGGGAAATGAAATTTTTGATGATTAATTTTACTTAGGAGAACATATTTATTAAGAAATAACTAAGTTTAGATAAACAACATGGAAGGAAAACATACTAATATATAACACATATTCATAATAAAATATCATAACTAATATGCTAACATATGGAAGATTTTTCTCTGCCATTTTGGGTATGTTAAATTCCTAGCTTATTTTCTTTGTTGCTGACTAATCTGTTTCAATCCTTAAAAGGAAGAAAAGAGCTTAAAGGGGGACTAAGGTAGTTGGAAAAGTGCAATGTATGTTGATAGCATAGTTGAAGATTTATTGCTTTGTAAATTAACGATGCAAAGTCATACACGTACGAGTCGTGTAACAGGATCCCGTATATATAGTTGATCATTGCTTCAATTCACGTGTTTCATTCAATTTTTTTTTTTGACCAAACCACATGTTTGTCTAATTTCAAGTAGGTGTATGTTATATTTATAAATTTTTTTTGTTTACAAATTCTTACAAATTACACTATTTTTTTTTTCGGAGAACACTAATTACACTATCTTCTACTGGGAGAATATAATGTAATTTGTAAAAAAATTTCAAAAAAATTTGTAAACAGATCTTTCCCCTTTTAACTAATGCATTTATCATTATTATTATTTTTCAGGAAACATCCCATCCCAGAAGGTTAAGCATAGTTGTTTTTCACTTATTTATTATTCAAAGAGGAGATAATTAGAGAATACATTAGCGTTGTTTTTTTTAAAAAAAAAAACATAGTGCAAACTAGTAAACTAAAAGTACCCATAATTAATGTGAAAGTTTAAAGAGAAGCTGAAAAATAAAATATATATATGTATATAGAAAAAATATTATCCACTTAATTAAAAGTAAAATGGAAAATAATATAAAAACATGAGTCTGGTTAATGTGTGCTTTTATTGTATGCTTAGTTCAATTTAATTGTAAAAAAAATATTTGTTTAAAGTTTTTAAAAAAAATAGATAAAAGTAAATATTTCTTAAAAATAAAATAATTTAAATGCATATTAAATGTACCTGTTAAGAAATTAAAAATGAATAAAAATATACAGTATTTAAGAATTTAAAAAGTTTTTATTTTTTTTTCAAAATAATTAAAAATAAGTAACAAATATAATTTTCATTCTTTAACATGTAACTTATAGGATTAACACAAAATTGTAAAAACATTATATTTTTTTCCTTTTTTCTCATTGCCCCTCTTAATAATCATCCTTAAATCCCCCCCCCTTCAAGTTTAATTATTAGATTCCTCAAATTTCATTCAATTATCCAATTTAATGAATTGATGAATTCATATAATTAAGTTCAATGGTAGGTGATTTTTTTAAGTTTAACTTATATATTATTTGATCACATAAATGATAAAGTTTCTTATACATTAGGTGTACATATATTTATTTGCAATTTTTTGGTAGAGTATGTATAGAGATACATTATATTTATATATTTTTTATTACAACCAGTTACATTAATTTCTTATCGTTAGATTAAAATAAAATTTATATTCTTATTTAATATCATAATTTTTCCAAAAATGAAGTAGACAACTTGCAAAATGCAGAGTATAGGTAATGAGGACAGGAACAGTCCAAATTTAATTGATCAATGATATGTAAAATCTAACCACATAATTTATTAGTCAGATAAAAAGTGATGCTATGTGCTTCATAGAAAGAGAGAGAAAGTGGAGGAGGGAGAGAGAGAAGGAGGTGAAAAAATAAAAGAAAAAAAAAAAAAACTGTTTTGACCGTGTTTGACAATGGACAAGACGTGTAGTTAAACAGAGAGAGAGAGAGAGATTAAGGGGAACGAGGTTAGTTTTTAGTTGAACTGGAAGGAACAACTTTGAAATTCCAACACACAACAACACAAACACAATCTCAATCTCAATCTCAATCTCAAACCAAACCAAACCTAAACCCCTCCCAAAAAAAAATAAAAAAAAACACTTTTAAATAAAAAAAAACTCTTTTTTATTTTCCCATTTTATTTTTCTTCTTCCTTCGTTATCTAATCATCAAAGCCAATCTCTTTCTTTCTCTCTCTTCCCTCTTACTGTTTTCTCTCTCTAACTTTTTCTCTCTCCTCAGATCATCTCCCACGGTTCTCCGGCGATTCCTCAGCGGTTTTTGGTTCCTCAACCCTAAAACCATAATACCCAGTTTACCAATCCTCTCTGTTCTTTCATATCTTCATCGTACATAATATGTATAACATTTAAAAAACATAAAGTTTCAATTTTTTTTTTTTTTTTTGTAATTAGTTGAATCATTATTATTTCATTTGTGATTAGTAGCAGAATCATTGTTAAGATAGAGGAGGAAAAAAAAAAATTTAATTGATTGTTGTTTGGAGAAAAATCCCAAACGTTTTTTCCCCTCTTTGTTGTCGTTTGGTGTTTTTCTTTGTTTTTTAGTGTTTTGAAACGAAAATTTGTAAAAAAAGAGGAAAAATTTCGATTTGGGGTGGTTGTGTTTTTGGTGGGTGTGATTGAAATTTGGAAGCTTTTGGGCTAGGCCAATTTGGAGATGGAGACACTTGTGTGAGGTTGAGGTTGTTGTTGGTGTTGTTGTTCATAGTGGAAGAGGGTGAAGAGAACTTGGGGGGTTATGATTGAGGGTGAATTTGAAGAATCGTTGATCGTTGTATTGTGGGGTAGTTGCTATTTTGGTCTCTTTGGTGATGGGGATGAGGAATGATGGACAGAAACAACAGCTTCTTCATCAAGGTGTTGGTGGTGGTGGCAAAACTAACGGCTTCATTCCGAGCTCCTTTAGGGCTCTATCCAGCTACCTGAGGATCGTTTCATCCGGTGCTTCCACCGTTGCACGCTCTGCTGCATCGGTTGCTTCATCGATTGTGGATAGGGACGATGATGCTGACCATGATCAGGTATGTGTGAGTAGTTTTACCTATGTTGCTTGCTTGATCATCATGATAAACTTGTGATGTATGTTGATTTGGATTTTGAAGATCTTAAGTGGTTTAGATTCATTGGGTGTTTATTTCTGGTTTAAGTATAATTAACTGTTTGCTTTTATGACAGAGATGAACTCTGATTACGTATCCAACTGAACAGTTTAGGCTTCTTCTTATTTTAGAGGATAGTTTGTAGAAGTCAAATTCGGTGTAGTTGTTGTTGCTCTGTTAGTTCATACTCAGTATTTGAGGCATGGTTACTGTTTTTGGTTTTTCCAGTTCTTTTAGGTATTGGTAATTTAGCAGTATTTTCTATGCTTGAATTTGTTACATGCAAGTTTTAGATTAAGGAGGTATGATGCATTTTTTTTTAATGCAATTTGTAGTATATTATGTGCAATTTATTTTGGGGTTAATGTTTGGCCAAGTTGGCCTGCAAAGCTCACTTGCTGGGTGACGTTTGCAGCTACCAGTTTGTGAAGTTCTTGAGCATACTTGTATATTATGCAACGATGGTTTGCGGAACGGAATTCTTTGAAAATGCTAACATTAAGATGCAGGCTGTATTTGATAAAGTAGTGTAATCCGTTCTTGCAATTTGGATATACAGGTGTCTTGATTGACAACTTCAATATTAGAAAATTTGGTGGTTGTGGTTTATTTTTGGTTTTTAATATGATTTTCTGCAAATCTCTTTGCCACTTGTCTACTTCTCTTTGATGGTTTAATGTTTTTGGAAGTTTTTAGCTGTCGTTAAGATTTTATTCTTTTGGATAGAAACATGGACTTACTTGGGTTTGAGCACGCCGTGTATTAAGGAATAATGACTTTTGTTGGATACAAGCAGGGTCTACCACATGGTCTAAAGCTATGGGTTGAATATTGGTCAGAAGTTTTTTATGTTTATATTTTTTGTCTTTTTAGCTATTAGGAACGTGTGGTTTTGTTGGTTGGACAGCTAACGTATTTTGTCGGATCTGTATCTGGCTTGTCCACACTAGATTATAGGGTTTTACAATGTTCGAAATATCTTCAAGGTCACCAAATTGCTATACTTTACTTGTACATGATTATGGATGTCCCTATTAATTTTCATTAACTTAATTTGTTTAGCTCTCTTGTTTCTTGCCAGAAATATTAATCATGTGTTTGTTAAGTAGTCAAAGAAGTATATGAAGTCTTTTATGGAAACATATGTTTTTCTATATTTGGTTGCAAACATCTCATGTGTTGCAGGTTGGTATAGGTTGTGCATATGCATTTAATTTACCAGGAATTCATATGAACAATGAGGGATAAAGAGATTTGCATTTGTGATTTTGATGGTTACGTTTAATTGCTATGAAGCTAAAAGTTGATTGTCACAACCATTTGGAAGGCTGGAGTGTTTTATGTTTCTTTTTCACGTTAATGTAATTAAAAGTGATATATTAAATTAAATGTGATGTGGCGTTGGTTCTTTTTTTTGCAGACTTGCATATACAGTATAGTGAAATTACATCCTGATTTTTTTGTGTAAACTTATAAATAATAGGTTTAGGTAATGCAATTCACTATGCTATTGGAGTTAATCGGTCTGTTTGATGAATTTGTCTATCAAGGAGTGGGTTATTTTTTGGAAAGGCACTGTAAATCTGGATAGTTTGAGCCATCATTTGAGTGTGTAGAGAATTGCTTTCATTAGTTACATAGGCATGAAGTTCTTGATATAACTTTTTCTTTGCAAAGTTGGATCTGATTTTCTTGTTACTTCATTTTTTTCGTACTGAATAATTTATACTTTCCAATTTTTTGTTAGGAATGATGACTTATATCAATTCTAACTTTGTATAGGTTATCTGGGCTGGGTTTGACAAGTTAGAGGGTGAGGGTGAAGTTGTTCAGCAAGTACTTCTTCTAGGCTATCGATCTGGCTTCCAGGTTTGGCATGTTGATGAATCAAATAATGTCCGGGACCTGGTTTCCAGACATGATGGTCCTGTTTCTTTTATGCAAATGATACCAAATCCAATTGCATCAAATACATCCGAAGACAAGTTTGCAAACAGTCGCCCATTGTTGGTAGTTTGTGCTGATGGGTTCTTTGCAGGAGGCAGCAATGTTCAGGATGGATTGATTGCCCCTTGCAATGGCAGCACTTCAAACTCCCATGACCAAATGAATGGCAACTATCTGCCAACTACTGTTCAGTTTTATTCTATGAAATCCCAATCATACGTTCATGTACTGAAGTTTAGATCAGTTGTTTATTCTGTAAGGTGCAGTTCTCGAATAATTGCTGTTTCTCAATCCACTCAGGTATACTTTGTAATATCTATACCAATCACCTTTAGTACCTTCTTTTTTCGAATTTTAATGTGAGTCATTTTTTTGCAGATACACTGTTTTGGTGCTACCACATTAGAGAGGGAATATACTTTACTTACCAATCCTATAGTAATGAGTTGTCCTGGTTCTGGAGGCATAGGTTATGGACCACTTGCTGTTGGTCCAAGATGGCTGGCTTATAGTGGAAGTCCAGTTGCAGTCTCCACTTCTGGACATGTCATCCCGCAACATTTGACACCTTCTGCAAGCTTTCCTGGTTTTTCTTCAAATGGAAGCTTTATTGCACACTATGCCAAAGAGTCCAGCAAGCATCTTGCTTCTGGGATTGTGACCCTTGGAGATATGGGGTATAAGAAACTATCCCGATACTACTCTGATAGCAATGGTTCATTACAATCTGTAAATTCTGGCGCAAAGGGCAATGGAACTATTAATGGCCATTCCACAGATGCAGATAACATTGGAATGGTGAATATTGTTCTTCTTGATTTCGTGTTATTTATATTGAGATCTGTATATATTGTGCTTAAATATTTTTTTGGCTCAAGTAGATATGATAACATTGTTCCTGTCTTAGGTTGTACTTGGCTGGTTTGAGATAATACTTAGTATTATATCATTACAAAAATTGCATCCAGTGTCTTCTTGCATGTTGGTTCAAATCTTGTTTTGAACAGAGTAGTATCTTTCTGGACATAAAAGTTTGTTACCATTTTGCAATTGCTCATGAGGCTTACAATTTGTTTTATCTCAGGTTGCAAGTATCATCATGTTCATATATTTTGGTCTATGTTACCCTACTTCTACAAAAAGGCAACTGGTATTGTTGCATTTCATACCATGATTTTACGTAGGATAACTTAGTTATTGTTCTCTTTCAGGTCATTGTTAAAGATATCGTCACTAAAAACGTTGTTGCCCAATTCCGGGCCCACAAGAGTCCCATTTCAGCCTTATGCTTTGATCCTAGTGGAACCATATTAGTGACTGCTTCTGTTCAGGGTCATAATATAAATGTTTTTAAAATAATGCCTGGACGTGAGAATTTGTCAGCATCTGATGCTGGTCCTTCTTATGTTCATTTGTACAGGCTGCAACGTGGTTTTACAAATGCGGTAAGTTCAAGTTCATTCCCACTTGTCCTTTGGGTTAATACAAAATCATTTTCTTTTTCACAATGTATATCTACAAGCAAGTGGGACCTTTATAAATCTGTATTGGACTTTTCAGGTTATACAAGATATCAGTTTTAGTGATGACAGCAAATGGATAATGATTAGTTCCTCAAGGGGCACTAGCCATCTATTTGCCATAAACCCTCAAGGAGGGTATGTAAATATTCAGTCTAATGATGATAGTTTTACGGCAAAAAATAGCGGATTGGGCGTTACGGCTAATCAGCCAGTTCGCTGGTCTCATAGTTCAGCCATACAAATGCCTAAACAACAAAGCCTGTTTGCCGCTGGCCCTCCAATCACACTTTCTGTAGTAAGCAGAATTAGGAATGGAACTAATGGCTGGAGAGGCACTGTAAGTGGTGCTGCTGCGGCCGCGACTGGTAGGAAGGGTTCTCTTTATGGGGCTATTGCTTCATCTTTCCGTAACTGTAAAGGCAATGGTGCCTTGTATGTTGAAGGGAACTATTCAAAGCCAAAGTATCACTTATTGGTCTTTTCACCCACTGGTTCCATGATACAATATGCACTGCGGACATTAACTGGTCAAGATTCAGCTGTTGTTTCTGGATTAACTCCTGCTTATGAATCGGCTCCGCAGGCTGATACAAGATTAGTAGTTGAGGCTATTCATAAATGGAATATATGTCAGAGTCATAGCCGGAGAGAGCGAGAAGATAACGTTGACATATATGGTGAGAATGGAATTTCAGACAGCAATAAGATATATCCGGAAGAAGTGCAGGAGGAGAACATCGTTAGCCCTAAAATCAAGAATGGAGTCATGAAAGGGAATCCCAGTCTTGAGGAAGAGCATCATTTGTATATTTCAGAAGCTGAACTGCAAATGCATCAAGCTCAGGTTCCATTGTGGGCAAAGCCAGAGGTACATTATCTTATAATTTGAAATTGTGCTTTTAGTATTCAATATTATGCCCTTTGGTTTGACATTTAAATACATAATAATTATGTTGCCCTACCAGATATATTTTCATCCAATGTTGAAAGAGTCTACCATAATGGATGAAGAAGCTGCTTCAGGAGGGGAATTTGAGATTGAAAGGATTCCAACTCGCATGATTGAAGCTAGGCCAAAACACTTGGTTCCAATTTTTGACTATACTCAGGCCCCAAAATTACAACAAAGGTTTGATGACAAATTAATTTGATAACTATATTAGATAGCTTAATAGACTTTGGTATTGGGTGTTGTGCTTCTTAATGTTGTATTAATAACATCACCTCAATTTATGAATGCTGGAGAATACTAAAGTTGATGGGGTTGGTTACCTTGTTTGATGAAGAAATAGCTTGTTCATACTCTTGAATTTTCCCCTTATATGCATGGAGATAGCTTGTTTTATTCATGATAAATAAAAATTATGGTTGTCTTACAGAACTCCTACGGTGGATAGCAAGATAAATGAACAACTGTTGCATCACAGTAATGGCAGGGTTTCACCCAGGATTGTTCTTGGATCTCCTGAGTGTGTGACTAATTCTGGTGATGCTGTTACTGATTTTAAAAGTGGGATTGAAGGAACTGAGTGGGATAATCATTTGGTGCCTTCTGAAATGATGGGCTTTGTAAATAACAATGACACCCTTAAACCAAATACTCAGCTTGAGATTGTAAATAATACGAGGGAGCACTCAAACTTGGAGGAGGCTCAACTCATGTTTGTAAATAGTGACACAAGGCCTGACAATGAAGAATCATTTTGAAGGAAATGGAGATGAATTTGATTGAAGGTAATATATTCATTTCTGATTTAGAAATTGTCAAATGTTAAGTCTCTTGAGATAATTATTTTATGGCAAAAGTATTTCAGCCGCTGCGACAAAAAGATTTATTTGTCACAGACACATATTTACCAGGATTTAAAAAAAAAAAACCAGGATCCGACGACTGTGGCAGATAAATTTTCCTGCCGCAGCTGCAGAAAAATTGAACCCTTATTTTTTTTTTACTCAATCAATCATGTATGTGAAACTTTCTGATGTATATTTACTGATCAATCTTCCTAATTGGCCTATGTTTGTATTTGTGTTTGATTTTCTTTTTTATTCAGGCATGGAAATATTCTTTCATTTCGCACTGGAGGCTTAATTAACTCTGTTAATATAATATGGTTGGAGAGGTAGAGAAGCTTGAGGAGTAGGGGCTTGACTCCCATAAAAAATTGTGGATACTACTACGTTGGGTTTCTTTTTCTGTTGACAATGTAAATAACAGACACTTGTATATCAATAATTAGTTTTTAATGTGTAAATAATAGCATCACCTTGTATCTTCTCCTTTCCTTTTTTATTCTATTAATTAAAATTGATTTCCGTATCATCCTCCTGTATTGTTATTACTACTATTATTATATGTGTTATTATTACTACTGTTATTATTGTTTTGTAGATTGGATAAAGTAGTTTGTAGGAAGACAAAAGATTAAAATGTATATTAATAAAGAAAGATGTAACATAAGTACTAAATTCTTGTAATTCTATAAACTCATTATTTCAGTCAATAGGTTCTTCTAAAATGTGTGCTGCCTGCAACTTGTGCAAAGGTAAAACATCTAACTTTTGCTATACTTTAACAATGAAGAAGGACAAAACTTTTGTAATTTAAAAAATGGAATATGAAAAGAAAGAAGCAAAGTTGAAGTCCCAATCAATGCTACTAGAGATTATTTATTTGGTAAATTGAAAAGTGCCTAACAAAACATAGTATTATATCCCATTGTCTTAAATCTCATTTCACCCAAATTTAATAAGAATATCAAACCTTTAAAATAGTATTTAATTTTGAATAGGTGTATCATTGGGGACAAGAAGATCGATAGTTGACAAGGCAATGAATGGGTCACGCAAAATATGAGGTGTGATGTGAGTGTGACCAATCAAGATAGTTCAAAGTAGCTGATATGAAAATAATATAGAAAATAAAAACGTAGTTTAAGAGCATAAATAGAATATAACTCAAGTTGACAAGGGTAGAAAATAAGAAGAGACAAATGGAAGGAATAATGACCATTCTAAATTTCTACAAAAGTGCTTGGTTGCGTCAGCATGCATTATCTTTGATGCATTAAAAGTAGACATGAAATGAAAGTTGTGAAATAACTGAAGATAAATTTGTTTATTTTTAAAATAAAAAGTAACTTGTAAGTAATGGTGGTTTCAATTTCAACACAAAAAATTAAATAAGAATCTACTGCAATACAAGAATTACTATTCTTGTCATTTTTGTCATGTACTACGTTTTCAATGAATCTACTGTTGGTCGTGTTCAAATGAATCTAGAGACCCTAAACTTGGTATTTCGTCCAATGCAAGTCATTCTTCAGGTATCTCCTCAAATAGTGGCGTGTCCCTCTTCAACCTTTCCTTTCAGATATAATAAAAAAAAATGCTAGCTTCTTTTCTTTGAGGCGAATCGAAACTTTTAGTATTCTCACGAATTCAATTTTTTGAGTTATTTATTAGACTAATTTAGAGTTCGGAATCTAGAATTAAAATTTTATGCTTCTCCCCAAGATTGTATTTGGTGGGGATTGAATTGAAATTCTTCCCCATATCATATCACTAAGCTCCATTACACCAAGTAAACTATTATTGTTGAGTCTAACAATATACCAGACTTATAATAATAGTCACAGTAGACTAGGCCTCATCTATGTACTGATATCACATTACCTGTTTAGGTTAACCAACTATTATAATAAGGTCCAAAGGCTTTAATAAAGAAAATATTTTTGGTATGATTTGGTAAATAATTTATCAAATATGAAAAAAATAACATATTTATATTATTCTTATTTTTATGGTTATTTTTTTTATATCTTTTTTTTATTTTATTTTTAGTAAGGATGTACCTACTTCCGTTGCACCTAAAATGTGCTTCTTAATAAATTCACAATACCCTCAAATATTGCTTGTTTATTTTTTAATTTGACTCGATTTTAAATTATAGGATACGAAGCCTATGAGGAAATAACTTTTTAACTGTGTTTTATGTGACTGAAGATTATCAACTTTTTAATCCATTACATGGGTAGCTTATCAATTTTGATTTATATATATGTTCATACGTTTGTCTAGCTACATGTCATACATCAATTGTTCCATGTTACATTTTGCTTATTTTTCCCCTTAAAAAAAAAAAAATCATCTAATCTCATATTATTATTATATGATAAAAGATCTCTCATATTATAGACACACATGTGATGAGACCCACTATCTATAAAAAAAGAAAAGAAAAAATCACAATTTTCGATGAGTCTATTGGAGATAAAACTATTCTTATATTACATCAGAATAATTTTTCAAAAAAAGAAAAAATGCTAAACTTGTATGTAGGAACATAATCACGACATGAAAGATAGACAAGAAATAGATCTAGGGCTACTTATCACATCCCAAATATATTAAGCTAATTTATAGGGGTGTAAGTAACATCTAGGGATCTTCATCAACCGATCCAAACCGATTCAATTCGTGGTGACCAAACTGAAAAATCGCTAACGGAATAAATCAAAAATCGAAAACCGAAAAAAATCCAAATTTTAATTGGATTGGATCAGTTTTCGGATTGGTTGATGAAAACCGATCCAATCCAAACTAATCCAATATATTAATTTCCCTTTACTTACTTGGGTCTTTCCCTAATCATAGCTCAAATTTTTTTAAACCCAAGACCCATTAACCCATCAACTAAACCCAATAAAAAGTCTAACTACATCTGATCAACAAAATTTCATCGATGTAAAGTTGCATATCTCATTGTCCCAAAAAAAAAAAACTATATTATCATTTACTGATACTTTTGTATTTCAATTTTTTTTTACAAAGTCAATATATACAAAAAATGTTATTTGCACAATAATCATTAAATAAATTTTTGGATTTTCAAAAAATCGAAAATCGATTCAATCCAAACCGAAAAAATTTGGATTGGATCATATTTGAAAAAAAATTCAAACAAATGGATGATTACATGATCAAATCGAAGGGATTGGATCATCAGATAATTTTTGCTTTCAAAACCGATCCAATCCAGACCGCGAACACTTCTGACACCAATAATGAAGTATCTTGTAAATTGGATTTTCATTTTCTCGATGTAATTTTCTTTTTGTCAGTAGCCATCCATATTTATCAGTTATTGCCAATTATCAGTGAGCACTGAGCACATCACATTGAAGTTAACGTATTAATGTCAATCAGCATTTGATTTCTTATACAACAATGCTTTTCATACAATATATAATATAGGGGAGGTTATATTTACAAACTTTTTTGTTTACAAACTCTTACAAACTACACTATGTAGGACCGGTTCTACATTAATCACACAGTGTACGATCGATCCTACATTAGTGTAATTACAAAAAAAGTTTGTAAACGGATCCTATCCCATATAATATCTCAATTCTTATATTAGTAAATAGGATTAAAGTGTAAACCATATTGACAAAAATATTTATTATTTTAAATAACAATTTTATATTATTTTAAATAAAATGATTGTGTTTTAATGCATATTTATTGATTTTTTTTGTACTATCTGTCATTTATAATATTTTTTTCTAATTTTGTGAAGGAGAGAAAAAAGTAAAAGATCAATAAATATATATTAAAATACGGTTGTTTTGTTTAAAATGATAAATATTTTATTCTATAATTAAATAATAAAAATTAAAGAAATATAAAGTAACGTGTTTAAGTAAGAATTCACATCGTCTATCAGTATTGAGAGGTTACTTTTATACGTTTATGGAACTTTTGTTACGTATCTGCATCAATTGTCTCGCTCCAGATCATTTTGCACATCGCCGCGTCGTTTTGGGATCAATTGTTACAGTGAAATTGTACATATCCATTTTTTTTTTTTTTTTATCTATATGCATGCATTTAGATTTAGGAGTTACAATATTTGCAAACTCTTAAAATTAAAAAAAAGGAGAAAAATATTAATTTGTAAAGCATGATAAACGGGTCATTTTTTCCTGTATAAAAGAAAGAGTTTGCTTTTTCTGCAGTTACTGTAGATAAGTTATCTGCAGTAAGCCCAATACGACGTCGTTTTGAGACAGAAATCATGGTATTTTTGTAATTTTAATTTATTTTAGGATTATAATAGTTTTTTTATTTATAATTTTTTAAGATTTCAATACCAAAACGACGTCGTTTTGAGAGTAAATGCAGAAAACTCATCTGCATTAATTGCAGAAATATTTTTTCCTGTATAAACAAAATCAATTATTTAAACCTTGTTATTAATTATAATTCTTCAAACTATTTGGTAAATGAAAATAATTATAAATAAATTAGCTACTTAATTATCATCAATCAAGATATGTATATTCCAATTTTTGTAAGCTAGTTATTGGAAGTGCATGGCTTATATATAATATGCAATAAATTAGTATCTATGGAGCCAAATACAGCATACAGGGACGAAGATTAAGGTGCCAAAACTGTGATGCAAATTGAGCCAAACAAGCAAAGTTTATAATGATGCTGATGAGTTTTGAAATTTGACTGAACAAAAGTAGGTAGCAATGGAATAGCAATCACCAATCAGGTTTTTCATCAATAGCATGCCATGATGCAATCATGCTTGGCCAATTGAAACCATAGAGTTTGCCAGTAGGTGAGGAAATACAAAGTTATTTTTCTTTTTTCTTATTCTTGTGTTATCTCTTATAAACTACCCTGAGTAATATGCCAACAATAGACAAATTACAACATTAACTCAAACCAGTTTCTTTGGACAGGACAGGATTTTTGTACTCAGCACCTACCCTATATGGATTTTCCCCTTATTGACTTAGAAACTAAACCAACTGTTTCCTATGTTTCACTTCTAAGAAAGTGTTATGTCTTCATAGAACAGGTACCATTCATGGACCCTCTATCTTTGTCTATCTACCATAAGAAATCATGTTCATGTATACAGGCAAATTTGAGAAGGGTCATGCCTGACACCACAGTACTTTTAGAAGGGTCATTTACATTAAATTTTCTTGTAAATATGAGAAATTTTGTTTACTTTTTGAAAGTAGGTTATATTTACAAATTTTTGGTTTATAAATAACACTATGTAATGTGGATAGTACATACTAATCAAGCATATGTACTATTCGTAGTACATAGTGTTGTTTGTAAACAAAAAATTAGTAAATATAATCCTGCTCTTATTTTTTTATATATATATTTTTATTTATAAAATTAAGCCAAAAGCTATAACAAAGTGTACATGCATAAAAAAATAAAAATAAGTATATTTATTTCCTCCATTGTAATTAGTTGCAGCAAGTAGAGGCAATTCAATATTGGTTTTCCCTCCCTTTGTTTTTGGCTGGTATAAGATTTTTGTTGCAACTAGAGGTGTTAACGAGCCGAGCCGAGCCGAGTTTTGGTTTTAAAAGGCTAAGCCTGTGTTTAAATGTGTCAGTCTTGACCAAATATGTTTCCTGTTATAAATATAACTATCGGCCTGCGGCCTGACTTATTTACAAAAAATAAAAGCCTTGTTTAGCCTGTTTAAAAAAAAAAAAGACAACAAAAATTTATCCAAATAGAATATACAATCAACAACTCTAGCAATTCCATAAATATTTATAAATTCAATTTATATCCAAACAACATAATATAGAACAAAATTATTCAAAAAGTCTGTTTAACCAATAAAATAGGCTGAAATGGATTGAGGAGAAAGAGATTGCTATTACAAGTAGTATAAAAAATATAAAATATAAATAAAAAATAATATACTAGGTCAGCCTGAGAGGCTTTAAGGCCGAACTTTTGAATTGAAGCCTGAGGTTTTTTTATTAAACGAGCTTTTATAAAAGTTCAAGCTTGTGCCAACAACCAATTTTAGACATGTAAACTCAGGTCTTCACGAGTCGAGCCAAAAGCCCCTGATTTGTTTAGCACCCCTAGTTGCAACTCTTTGTTTTCTCTTAATTGTTCTCTCGTGGTATTAGAACCCCAAAACTTTTTGAAAAAAGAGTATTAATGGTTGTTAGTTAAGTGACATTCATTTTTTCATTTTTCCGAGAATACAACTTTTATCTTTATATAAATTAAAAATTTATATTTTTAGTATATAATTCACAGATATTCAAATTTACAACATTTAAAAGTTATCTAGTTTTTATTATCAACCCATTTCAAATGACCAAATTAATATATATATATATATTTTTTAAAAAGAACTGTAACCTTTTCTTTTTAAAATACTTCAAGGAATTTATTGGTGGCTGTTCTTTTGTGAAAGAAATGAAGGAAATTCTGGCTGGTATACTTAGGGCAATGGTCATACATACCAATTCTTCCACGTAATACAAAATGCCAATTAATAGGTCATACACCATTTATTTGAGACAAATCAATAACTTTGAATATGGTCAAAACAACTTTTCCTAATTGCTAATTAACCCTTAAAGATGTCTTTTCCCCAAAACCCCCTAATAAATGTGGTTTTTGAACCACCTTATATTTCCATCATGTGCTTCCAAGAGAAATAGAAGTAACGTTTCCTGAATTTTCACTCCAACAATCACATCCTCAACCCCACACCAGAGAGAGACAGAGAGCTAGTCATTTTCCATATAGGAGTCAGTTTTATGTCATAGTATATGCTTTAAGCTTCATGTGGTGGCAAAGCCAAGCATACACCAAACAAACCCAAAGTTCATATTTAACTTCCCTCCTTCAAAACCAAGCCACAATACCAAAAACTTGATCCAAACAACACCCTCCCTCTTAGTCCCATGTCTCTTTCTCTTTAACAACCTTCACCTCAAAAAATAAAAAAAATAAAAAAAATAAAAATATTTATATATATTAAAGCCCTCAAACACCATTGACATGCCTGACCCAAATGCTAAGCAAGGTTAGGTGAAAGATAGCAACCTTAAACACCATCAAAAACTTCATTTTACAGCATATCCTGACATGGGTTCTTGTGGTTCTCCTTTGTTGTTGATCAGGTGGTGAACTGTCAAATGAAATAAGGACTACTTGTTGAAGAGGAGGAAACTCAAAGCAGTGTTATTATACTGCTTTTGGTGTTTCCCTGCTTCATTGTGTTGGTTTTTTACATTTGAAACAAAAATGCAGCTTCACATATCTCCAAGTTTGAGGCATGTTACTGTTCTTCCAGGCAAAGGGTTTAAGGAGTTTATCAAAGTGAAGGTTGCATCAAGGCGTCTTTCTTATAGGATGCTATTCTATTCACTCTTGTTCTTCACTTTTCTTCTTCGGTTTGTGTTTGTTTTGACTTCTGTTGATGGCATTGATGGAGAAAACAAGTGCTCTACCATAGGTATATTATCAGCTCCTCTTTTCTCTCTCTCTCTCTCTCTCTCTCCCACACACACACACACACAGAGTCACAAACATAAACACATGCAGGCTTGGACAGAAAGACACAAACAGGTGAATGTTAGGGTGGATAAGGCTTGAATTTTCCATATAACAAAGCATATTGTTTAACAAAGCTTTGAACTTTTTATTTTTTAAAAAGTAAACAAGATTTAATGGAATGAGATATAGATTGGCGGACAGTATATCTTAGAAAGGAATGGAGAAAAGCTATAAGTATAGTGGAGGGTTAGACCCGCTGTTATTCCTATGTTCCAGATGGTCCTTTTTAGTCCTTTTCCCCTTCATTTCTCCCACTTCTTCTTGTCCCTTTCTTTTTTACTTTTATTTATTTATATATACATATATTTTTATTTCATTTTATTTTATTTTATTATTTTATTTGTGTATTTTTATTTATTTATTTATTTATTATTTTTTTTTACTTTTTTTCAACCGTTTTGTGTCTTTCATGTGGGTTCATCTACCACCGACCCCAATTAATTTGGGATAAAAGTGTTGTTGATGTTGATATTGATGTATTTGGCTGCATCCTCTCTTATCGAACACATCGTCAAAGCGTTACCGACTTTTGAATTAAAAAATTTATAATTAATGTGACTTCTGATAAATTAAGGGAACTTGTAACACAATGGGAAAGATGCATATGCATGTGCATTATATATATTTATATATTGGATGATGTATGTGTATACTAAGTTTGCCAACTTGATCAGAAATGTATTAATTTATAGCTCACCTCACCTGAGCCACTATGAGATCCATGTCGTGAACTGTATTAAGAAGAGATGCATCAGACAAGATTATGAACATATGCTTTCTTTATATTATCCATTTTGTCAGAACTAGACTTTATGTGTCTTGTATTGTATATTTGGAATAGGATTCTTCAATAGTTACTGTTGGGGTAAGCTTGACCATCCACTGAAATTTTCCTTAAAAAGTAGTTAAGGTATATTACAGTACAAATTCATTTGGACACTTGATGGGCTTGATGATCTTAAAATCACAATGATAAAGGATGAACTCCAGAATTTGCAAACCTTAAATTCTGGACTTTATGCTCTATAAAAAAAAATAAAGAAAAAAAATACTCTGACCTTTTTAAGAAACTATATGACTTATTATGGCTAGAAACTATAATTCCAGTAAATATGTTTATTATATCATAGTATATGACATTTTGATTTACTTCAAATCATATTTGTAGGTTGTCTAGGAAAAAAACTAGGGCCAAGGATTTTGGGAAGAAGGCCTGAATCAAGTGTAATCTCCTGACTTCTTCTAGTTATATTTGTCACCATCTGAATCAATTTTGCAATTATTTGACCTGAATTTTCTGCTGAAAATGACATGGACTTTTGATAGGTCCCAGAAGTTATATACCGAACGTTAAATGAACCCCTTGGCAAAGATGAACTACGGGGAAGGTCTGATATTCCACAGACTTTAGAAGAGTTCATGACAGATATGAAGGGAGGTGGATATGATGCCAAGACATTTGCAGTTAAACTTAGAGAAATGGTACCATTCTCCTCTTCTTTTAATCTAGAGGAAATTAATCAAATGTATTCTTCTTCTTTTTCTTCAGTTTTCCAAGTTGAAGTTTCTATTAAATAAGGCTGAAAATTTCTTAGGTAACCCTTATGGAACAAAGGACCAGGATTGCCAAAATCCAAGAATATCTATATCGTCATGTAGCATCAAGCAGCATACCAAAACAACTTCACTGCCTTGCCTTGAGTCTGGCTAATGAACACTCCAATAATGCAGCAGCACGCCTTCAGCTACCCTCTGCAGAACTAGTCCCTGCCCTGGTTGACAATTCCTACTTCCACTTTGTCCTCGCCTCAGATAATGTGCTGGCTGCCTCTGTGGTTGCAAAATCACTTGTCCACAACTGTTTGCGGCCTCAGAAAGTTGTTATGCACATAATCACAGATAAAAAGACTTATTATCCCATGCAGGCTTGGTTCTCATTGCATCCTTTATCCCCTGCTATAATTGAGGTCAAGGCATTGCACCATTTTGATTGGTTTACAAAGGGAAAGGTGCCTGTTCTGGAAGCAATGGAGAAAGATCAAAAGGTACGGTCACAGTTTAGAGGGGGTTCATCAGCTATAGTTGCAAATACCACTGAGAAGCCATATGTTATTGCTGCAAAACTACAAGCACTTAGTCCCAAGTATAATTCGGTGATGAACCACATTCGGATACATCTCCCTGAGGTAAAAGGGATACTATAGCAAGTAAATCTTTTATTTGATAGCTTATAACCAAGTAAATATTTCTTGCTTGTGATGCTTATTGCTATAATAGATTTTTCATTACAGTTATTTCCAAGTCTTAACAAGGTGGTCTTCCTCGATGATGACATTGTGGTACAAACTGATCTTTCACCTCTGTGGGACATTGACATGAATGGAAAAGTCAATGGAGCAGTAGAAACATGTGCTGGAGAAGATAAGTTTGTGATGTCAAAGAGGTTGAAAAGCTATTTGAACTTCTCCCACCCTTTAATATCCGAAAATTTCAAACCCAATGAATGTGCTTGGGCTTATGGCATGAACATTTTTGACTTGGAGGCTTGGAGGAAGACCAATATAAGCAATACATACCATAATTGGGTTGAGCAGGTATATGTGTCATCCATTCTACCATAATAATATAAAGGAAAAGGAAAAAAAATAGTCAAAGTACTTTTGATATACTTCAAATGTGTCATTAAAATTGAGTTTCCATAAAAAGTGATAGTTGATATAATAAAAGATTGATATTTTTGTTTTGCTTTATGCAGAATATTAAATCAGACCTGAGTTTGTGGCAGCTAGGGACATTACCTCCTGGATTGATAGCATTTCATGGCCATGTCCACACTATTGATCCTTTCTGGCATATGCTGGGATTGGGATATCAGGAAAATACAAGTTTAACTGATGCTAAGAGTGCTGGTGTCATACATTTCAATGGCAGGGCAAAGCCGTGGCTAGAAATAGCTTTTCCACAACTAAGGCCATTATGGACAAAGTATGTGGACTTCTCAGATAAGTTCATCAAGAGCTGTCACATTAGGGCATCATAGCTTATATCTAGAGAAAACGTATGAGTTGAAGAAATGGTATTTGTATCCGAGGGAAAAAGAAAATGAGAGAGTTCTTCCAAGCATAACGCCCTTCCATGACAACAAAGAGACAAAATGATATGGCATGATGCTCCTTTCTTGTTTTAAAAATTTATTTTTAACTCTCTTTCTTCAGTTGAAATTCTCAGATTCTTTTTCTCTTAAATCCATATTGTAAGTATGAGCATTTGTAGATCATACGTTTATGTATCAAGACAACACAGTTTTTTCTGGGAAAATAAACCTGCGAACTCAAGATTTAATAATAAGCTTTTGTAAATGAAGAAATAAAAGTTCAGGAGACAAAGAACCAAAGGACCATTTTATCCAATTTCCTTTCAGTCTACATATAATGTATCAAGCTAATAGCAGAGTTTCTTCTCATGTTTTTCATATTGAGGCCGTAGTATCTTGCAATCATGTGGCATTGTTTCATAATTACACGGATGTTTAACTATACTGTATACAGAATATCAAGAACTTGAGGCATGGTCCCGAAATTAATCTGAATTCTCATTCAAAATTGGCGAGTACTACTACATGCTTACTTCATAAGATGGTCATAGTGTTGAACCTACATTCAGTGAGACATTATCACAAACATGTTCTATCCGCAGTTCATATAAATAAAAGATCTTGAAGACCAATCCTTTTGCTCCATTTACTTTTTCCCTGTCACATTGGATACCAATCCCCTGATGAACTTTGCAGACTTAGTTATAGGCGAATTGATAGCCATTAGATTGTACAACACACTCTCAACTTCACCAATGGTTGGCCTGGCTTTGAAGGAGGAAACCACCTTCAGTTCTTCTCCTTCTTCTACAAGAACATTCCATCTCTCTCCACTCACAACCCCATCTCTCACACACTTAAAAATCACACCTTTTCTTTTGTTAAATATCCCTCTCACCTCCAACCCCATAAAAGAATAAACTACTTCAAAAGAACCCACAAAGCCACTTAGACCAAAGTTACTCTCTTCCTCAAATGCCCATTTTGGATTAAACATCACTACAGGCTTTGGATAAAAGGCATCACTCACTGTTTTCATCAGTGCCAATTGGGAACTCTCTGGAACCAAAAATATTGCCACATCCGCAGAATTCAAGATTCTGGGGTCAGTTTTGGCCACTGAAGGAATGTCAAAGTGTTCAACTTGGCTAGTTGAAAGAGACTGAAAGGCCACAGTGGCAGCTTCTCTTAAGCTAGGATAAGGCCACAGGATTAAGATCTTAATGGGAGAACCTTTTCTTTTGATGGGTATGTCCCCAAAAATATCAAGAGCAAGTTGGGAAAGTGAATCTTGTGAGTCATCAATGACAGGAATTTCAACCCGGAACTTGGGTTGCCTTAGTTTCTTGAGTTTGCCTAATGGTTTTGGGTTGTTGAGGGGCTTCTCTAAGGTTGTTAAAAGGGATGTTTTTGCCTGAAGAATGGCCTCTTCCTTTGAGATGGGTGGGTTAGGGGAAGAGAGTGAGGAATGGATGGATGTGGATGTAGCTTTGAGGGGAACAGTGGGACTTGTGGGGATGCAGGAGATATGGTAGTGTTTGTATAGATACTGAGGATTAGGAAATGGGATTGATGTGAATTGGTTATTGGAGTGTGGAGGTAGGCATGATGATGGCTTGGAAATTTGGACTGAATTGAGATGAATAGTGTGAAGATAGGAAGATGCCATTTAAGCATTTAAACAGACTTGCAAGGTCTGAGAGTTTTGATATGAGAAAGTTGTCTCAAAGCTCTATCCAGATAAGATATTGAGAGCTACCATTAGCTCACAACCTCACAATAGTTCAACAAGTGGAGGAGTATGATTGCTACAATTTATAAAGCTACAAATTCACAACCAACTTTTAAATTTTAATGGGTTAAAATTAAAATACACTTGAAATTAAATTATACGATAAGTTTACCTTACATAAGCTAACTATAAACAAACTACCAAAGGTATCCAAAAAAAAAAAAACTACCAAACACTACAACAATTCGCTCTGCTCTATTCACATGCACCTCGTCATACATCCATCGTTAAAATTGAGAAACTTCCAGTAGTCTGAAATTAATCAATTTTTTTTCCTGGTTAAAGAAATGTGGCTGCTACAAATTTGGGATTAAAGCAGCATTTATGCTTCTTCAATCGTAAAACGGTGTCTATTTGCAAGAAGAATGGATCCTTCGTTTTTGCGGGACTAAACCAAATTAACAAGTTGCTGCAATTGACCTTGGATTATATCAAAACCAGTAACAAACATTAAAGCCGACGCGAAGACAGCCAGACAGCTTATTAAGATTTACATGCAAACACCAGCATTACTTCATAATATTATCAGCTGACAAATACAGTCAAAGCCACCACTGAATCCAGTTACAGTTAGAACGCTTAGCAATAGCTGAAAGGCAAAAGGTATGAGAAAATGAATACAACTTTTGGGCCAAATTGGAAGCCCAAATAATTGCGCAATGCCAACTTAGGCAACTGGGGGACGGAGTACATGATCCTGTGAGGTATCCACGGCAGCCGGTGGCATAAATTGCCACATGGCGACTCCGGGATAACCAACAAATGGCACCAACTTGTTGCCGGGGGCTTGGCCTTGTGGAGCAAAAGCAGCAGGGATTGCAGGATGGTGTGGCAAGAAACTAGGTTGGGCATTCATTGATTTCACCTGCTGCTCCAACTTCTCTTTTTCTGCCTTAAGCCTCTGTTTCTCATCACGAAGTTCATTCTTCTCAGCCTACATAGTATTATATAAGGTTTACACGATGATTTAGTCACAGCTACGACAAGGTACTACTGTTAAGGCAGAAAACTTTAGGGAAATGAAATGATGTAAAGACCTCCCAACAAGTCCTTCCATCTTCAAAAGAAAATTATTGTATATAAATTGAGGCCTCACCTTCAACTCTTTAATCTTCTCTTGAAGACTCGTATTTGAGTCTTTCAACTTCTCGGCTTCACCCCGCAACTGTGTCACCATTCGGACAGCATCAATCAGAATAGCAGCCTTGTCTGTTTTGGGAGGCCTTCCAGGCTCCAAGATGGAGCCTAATTCAACAAACCTATCCATGTCAATGATATTAGATGCATGCCCCAGAAAAACATTTACACACAAACCCATGAGGAGAACAGAAACAAACAGAGGGAAGATGACTGGGATTAAAAAGTTAACTTGTCATTCAGCCTATCCCTCCGCAACTTCTCCCGACATGCCTTAGAGCTAGTAGCACATGAATCAGATCTACCCCTGCAACAGGAATAAACAAGATAAATGGGATAACTTTTTTCCAAGAATAAGTATCTGGACTGGATCCTCACGTCTCTAAGCTAAGTGCTGATATAAGAGCAATCAAGACTTTAGACAGGGAAAGAAGATATGGGCAGAGTAGCTAAAGAAACCAGGGAAACACAAAGTCATAATTAAGCAAGCTAACATATATGCAATAGGATTTGTCGTGGCAATTTCTTCATTTATGCTGCTAGCCCTTATCATCATCACTTCAGAAACCATGTTGAATTTCCATTTGACTCAATTATATTACTTGATACCTGTCAGTTAATTGATGACAACCTATGGCTAGCAAGTCTTTTAAAATTATTTTCAAACAATTTACCCTGCTCTTTGATTTAAGTCTTCAATTGTTACTGCAACATTAAACAAAAAAATTGTCCTATAAATAATCTAAATTCTAAACCACACAAGCAAACAACAGAGATCGGGAAATAAAACGAATAAAGTACTGAATAACTACACTACAAATGTTAATTATCCGCTCTTTTTATTCATTAATATTAAATTACTTGTTTAATAAGAAAGGAAAGGTGAAATAAAACTGTGTACCTCTTCTTCAAACCAGGTTCTTTGAGACCATCAGAATCCCCCAATGAGCCATCAGTTTCAACACTAGGAGCAGATAATATAATCAAAACAGAAGTTGCAAGTTAGTAAACATAAATTACAGCGTGGGAACACAAAACATGTCACACATGCAACACTCTGGCATTACTATTTCCCATTCTCATACCAAAACCTACAATCCATTAAAAAAAGAAATCGCATGCTCAGAACAACAACTAAAACAGCACGAGTTTGTCAATTTGCACACACAGCTTAACAGTGTAAATTGCATTTATTTATGATCCTCAAACCGAATTAAACCTAACACAACATTTCTTCCACTTAACACATAAAATTCAGCAAATCTGTACCACTGGGGAACTAAGAAACGAAGCACAGGCACATATTAAAATTAACAAAACCCTAATTACGAATATGCGAGAAAGGGAGTGAAAAAAGAAGAAGAAGAAGAAGAATAGTAAAAATGAGAAGAGTACCAGACATTGGAGGGGAGTGGTGGGGCCCAGGTGAAGGCGGAAGGAGGGACGGTGGTGAAGGTGGCGTCGGGGACGGGAATATCGTCGATCAAGGCATAATCGAAGAGCCAATTGGTGTTTTCAGGGGAAACCATTGCGCATGCGAATGCGAATGCGAATGCGAATGGGATATTGAGATGCGACTAAGAGATGACCAAAGTGGAAAATTTTGTTGCAAAGTGCAAGTTGCCATCAGATTCCTCTTCCTTCTATCACCACCACTAAAGCTGGGCTTGGGCTTCTAAAATGTTATGAATTTTTTGTTATTATTAAATAAAATCATGTGTTGCCGTAGTGTGGTAAAAAAAATTAATATATTATTATTTTAATAAAAAATTACAAAAATTTAGTTGTTGCAAAGCAAAACCAAGAATGAAAGTGAGGAAAGAAAAGATTTTTGAGTCATCTTTTTCCAAAGTTGTGCTTACTTCTTCAATCTCACATTTTTAGCTCTAAGTTTCCCTTTTTCCAATAAGAATGCTCCTTTAAATCCTGTGACGACACGTGGCATACAAAAAATCAACAGTTTGTTCGTAAAACTTCGAAAAGTCATAACTTTCGATTTAGGTGTCCGAATCAGATGACTTTTTTTTATTCTACATAATTTTTCATGATCTACGCAAAGACATCTAAGGGGATTTGGTCAAAAAAAAAATTCAATTTTTTTTGAATTTGAGATATTTTACCATAAAACTTTAGAAGGCTATAACTTTTGACTCAGGTGTCCGAATCAGGTATTTTTTTTATTCCATATAACTATTCGTTAGCTACGTGTGGTAAATCCCGTAGTGGATTTGGTCAAAAAAATATCACAAAATATGCTTCCTTATGATATGTTTGGCATATTTTATCTTTGTGAATGATGTTTTTAAATTTTTACTTTTCAACAATGACAAATAATCCTTTGAGAATTTTTCAGTGAGTAGATCTTAAATAGTTACATGGACTAAAAAAATAGCGATTCAGACTTCCGAGACAAAAGTTATGGTCTTTCAAAGTTTTATGGTAAGTTTGAGCTCATGTAATCGATTACATGCACTACTACTTGGGTGTCTGAAAATTTTTTGACCAAATTTCTTTCAATAAGATGTTGTTGCGTATGTCTTGAAAAATTATGTGGAATGAAAAAAATCACCTGATTCTGACACTCGAGTTAAAAGTTATGACCTTCCAAAGTTTTATAATCAAACTGTTAGACTTTTTTTGTTCAACGTGTCATAATTGGAAGAGTCATGTCTGGATGGGGCGCGACTTTGCACAGGTTGCGTCTGTGTGAGGCGCAACTTGTTGTGCCTGACTGGGGTGCGACCGAGTGCAATAAATTCATAAATTATTTCAAAACAACTATATTATTATAACTTTTTATTAAAATAATAATATATTAACACTTTTGCAATTTGTGTTAGTATTAATTTTTTTATGTGGATTTTAATTAGGAGAGAGATCATTTCAATTATGAAACTAATTTCGAGTAGAACTTAAGCTCTTCTCCTCTTTCAAAACTTTTAACTCTTTAGAGTTAATAACATTTAAACCTTATCGTTACTCCTTCGGTGATCTTACTAAGGTAATGTGAATATAGATTAATTAGTAAGGTTCATGATTAATAACTAATAATAACGAGTAATGAGAAAAATAATATCAAATAATGTCCTTTTACATTAGATATTAATAACCTTGTATACCATCAAGTACATGGGTTAAGTCGTAAAAAATGATTTCAAGTTTGAATCCAGTGTACCTAGATGTATTAAAAATTTGGTCTCTTATAATTATATGCGGCTCGAACCGAATAATTGATAAATTGATGGAGAAATAAAAAACATAAAGATATAATTTGAATAATTTGATTCAATTTAATATAGATTAGGTTATTTTATTGGAGTCATTTTTTGAATTAACCTAATAATTCCAGTCATCTTATTTTTTTTTTTAAAAACTTAATACAAATAACATAAAAAAATGTAACCAACGTTTGTTAGAAAAAGCAACCCCAAAAAAGATTTCTTAACCAGAAAGAATTCAATTCAAATGTAAGATACCTATCCATATAAAATAATATCATTTTAGTAAAATTTACACAAAAAATGAAATAAGAAAGTATATTAATCAAATTAGTAATGCAAAACTAACTCGACAATGACCAGGTTTGATTAGTTCAAGTTGAGAAAGATATTTCACTTAATTAAACAAAATAATGACAGTGAATCATTATTAGATATAATACCATATTTATATAGACATAGGCACATAGCATATACCAAGCATAATAATATTTTTATTCATCATTTACGTGAGAGTATAGTTTAAGCAACGTATTGTCAAAGAAAGCCCAAATAGCTTTCCCATGTGCTACTACTGTATGAGTTTTTTTTTTCCGGGGCGTTTGGTACACAGATTTTTTCTTGAAAATCGAGATTCTCGAATAAATAAAAATTTCTCTCGTACCAAACACCCCGTCAAAATGTATTTGCTCGGCCAAATGTCTTGCTTATTTCACATGTTCCATGTTCACTGTATAATAATATTTTAGCGTTAGGTGGTAGGTGTAGGTCCCTATAGGGTAATGTTTGTTTATTCACATCTCCATTGTAGTGGAAAAAATAAAATAAAAATGCCCAAAACGCGTTGAATAAACAAATTTTTTTTCCAAATGATTACATAATTAATTCGGTTGTTTCCTAATGACACATGTGATTTATACTTTGAAAAATATTTCTGCTTTTATTATGGATAATTTTATTTCTGTCGCATTTATATAACAATAAGGTGATGTTTGGTTCCATTCTTTTCAACATTTTTCTATGCAAATGAAGTAAAGTTTTAGAAAGTCAACGTATGTTTCAACAGATTATGATCAAATCCCCATCCATGTAATTTGCATGACTTTTTCAACTTTGCCTGAGAAAGAAAGGTATCAGTACTGTTTAGAAAGCGAATTTGAGGGTGATTTTTTTTAAAAACCTGAGTAAAATGACACACTTTGAGGACACCCATTATACCCTCCACGATGATTAATAATGTTACACACAACAGAGAGCAAAACTTTTTCATCCGTTGTATATATGTGACAATAATTAATATTCAGCACTTATATATATATATATATATATAGCAGAACTTTTTCATCCGTTGTATATCTGTGACAATAATTAATATTCAGCACTTATATATATATATATATATATATATATATATATATATATATATATATATATATATATGGAAACAAAGTCCACTGCTGAATAGGGATTTTGTGAACAAGCATTTTTATTCTAAGAATAAAATAAATTATCCCATCTCACTACATTTTCACCTACATTCTATTGCACTGTGTAGGAGACAAGCTCTTCCTCTTCTTGTAATGACTCGTGAATCCTTTTTAAGTCTGTTTTCGAATTTAATTAAAGTTCTTTTTGGTTATAATTAATATTAGCAAACAATGGGTGATTTAATGAACGTATTTAAGACACAGATAAAAGCTTACACATATATAAACTTATGTGACAATTGGAAACAAGTTAGGCACAGTCTTTTAACATTATAAGAAGTTCAAACATACATTCATATTGTACAGAATGTTCTTAAATTCATTTTAGACTGCACTCCTCATACGAAATGTACAAGGTTATTTTCGTAACGTTGTATTATTTTTCCATCTATATTTTACAAAAAGCTAAACATAGATTTTATAAAAGTTACTTAATTTTTTCCAACCAAACAATTTTTTTTACATTTTTCTACCAAATTCACTTTCCAACCATTTCCCTAGTAATCACATTTTTTTATTATTTTTAAAATTTTCTCCTCAACCAAACGCCCCTAAGAGAATTTTATTATAAAAAAGAGAGAAAAACATTGAATCCTTGAGTTAATGTACTAAATAATGCGAAAGTTGTACTGGTTATTGCTTTGTTTTTCGAAATCACTGTAGAGGGGCAGAGGGACAAATTGTTTGTTAGGCATTTAAAGTTTTGATTTTGAAGCATTGGCTGAATATTAATTTTTTAAATAAAGTGTGTTTGCTTCTTCTTTTTTAGAATTACTTCTATCATGTATGTTAAGAGACAAATAAAATAGACCCCACCAATTTTTAGAAAAAAAGAAAAAAAAAAGAGACATATTTTTTAAAGTGAAAGTAAAGAGATCATTGCATGATAAGAGTATGATTTCCCTTTCTTTTTAGTAGAAAAAGTGTGCTTGCTTTAAAAAGGGAATAAATAAAATGGATTTATTATTAACTGAATAGATAAATGTATTTTTTTTTTAGCCAGATAAATGTATTTTTAATTGAATGGATAAAGACAGATTTATTAATAATTTAATCAAATTAAATTATTAATAATCTATCTTTATGTATTCAACTAAAAGTATATTTATATCAACCTTTTCATTATATTTACTTCGGAATGGTTGTGTCTTATATTGTACCGAGAGACACCAATATAGGATACGAGATACGATATTACATTTAAATATGTTAATTCTAAAAAATGTTAGATTTTAACATGTTAATACACGTTTTGATATTAAATCATATTTTTAATTTATGTAGTGTATATTATATTTAATATTCAGTAATTTAATAAAAAATGGATTTTCTTTTTCTGCAATTACTGCAGATGAGTTATCTGCAGTAAGTCCAATACGACATCATTTTTTGACAGAAATCATGATGTTTTTGTAATTTTAATTTATTTCAGGATTATTATAGTCTTTATAATTATAATTTTTTAATATTTTAATCCCAAAACGACGTCGTTTTGAGAGTAAATCGAGATAACTTGTCTGCAGTAACTGCAGAAATATTTTTCTCTAAAAAAATAAGCTAAACTTATAATACCTATCAATTTTACAAAGAAATATAAAACAGAAAAATATTTCTACAGTTAGTGCAGATAAGTTATTTGTATTTACTCTCAAAACGACATCGTTTTGGTATTGAAATATTAAAAAATTATAATTATAAAGACTATAATAACTTGAAATAAATTAAAATTACAAAAACACCATGATTTCCGCCCCAAAACGATGTCGTATTGGACTTACTGCAGATAACTAATCTGCAGTAACATAAAAAAAGTGAACCCAACATAAAATATCACAAATATTTATATTAAACTGAATAAAATAATAATCATAATCTAATAAATTTAATATTTAAAACTAAAAATGCAACGGCAGGTAACTTTTGAACCCTTTTATAAGTTTTTACAATGCGTAACGGGAAGAAGAAGTGTTGGACACCACACATTACATTTTTTGAAGTGTGGGTGGTTGCGTCGAACAGATTAAAGCAATTGAATTTGGAACGAATATTTTATTTATAATTTTACCTAATTTTAAAAAAACTTATGTAAACTTAGAATAATATGACGACAAAGACTATTCGATGCACACTAAAATATACCCATTTACACTTCTGAAGGCAGCAATTTTTCATATCCATACTGTCACGTGGCCTCACCAAACACTTACAAACGATAACAGAACAAAAGGGAATATTAAATGATAAAGTTTCATTAGGAAGATATTCAACACACAACAGACACAACAATAATATCCATATACAGAGACACATGACCTCGCCAAACATTTACAAATTAACAAGCACAGAGCAACCATTACTATAATTTGGAATATAAAACATACATGATATGATTTCTATTACGATGATAAACTTTTCTAGCTATGCCTCTTTTGTAGCTTTGTTCATGGAACCAGTTGAGTGAATAAAATGATCAATCCTTTTCCTTATTTCATCAGGATTTGCACCCACAATTTTGTCAATGGGAGCTCCTTCACTCAGCAACAGAAAGGTTGGCATGGCTTTAATCTCGAACTTAGAGGCAATTTCCTGAATACAGTCACATAATGCACATAGCAGTAGAACAAATAGGGTTAATACAACTATGAATTCCACTTTCAGTTAGAAATTATGCTTTGATTCTTTCCTTTAAACCACCCCACTAGAATGGATCAAAAAGGGTATTATTATATAGGCCATATATATAATACCATATTATTATATATGGCTAAAGCAGGAACCCATCTTTTAATTTGGATGGTAAAAAAATGGGGATCAGAGAGTTAGATACTGCAATAAAGATTATATGCAAAAATATTTCATTTAATATGTCATAACCAATAGCTTCATTATTATTATAAGTTAAGTCCCACATGAATATTTTATTTGAAGATTAGATTAGAGATAAGGTTCAGTTATACTATGATTGTTGATGTAAACAAGGACCATGTGATCTCAAAGTGGGGTTTGTAATCCGAAAATAAACAATTTAGAAGGATTTGTGTGGACACCCTTTACTTGATTCCCTCTGGATAACATTGAATGTTTCTGCATATTAGAGTCACGGCATAGAAATAGATGAATTGAAAATTGCAGATATATGATACACAAACTAAAAATGTTTCACATAACACCAAACCAAGCATAGTTTTAACGTGGGAATTAAATTACCTTAACCTCATCCACATCCAATGTCAGAAACAGAACATCTTGATAGGTGGAGGCCAGTTCTTGAAAGAAAGGATTCATAACTATAGAAGGCACGCACCAGCAAGCAGAGAAATGAACCACAATCTGAAAATTTTTATGAAAGAAAAAACATAGTTTAGAACAAACCTGTAGTACTACATGTCCATCCTAAATGCTATCTGAATCTGATTCTTTGACCAACAAATTGTGCAAACTGATTTATATTAAATGAATTCCCATAAACAAAGGAGACTCACTGGATAGCTTTGATTGGTAGCATGAGAGATGTAGTGTTCCCATGATTCCTTAGAGTCTATTTTGATAATCCTAGACTTTTTGAGCTGTTCTTGGCCCTTCATTTCTTTCTGTTGCTGCTGCTGCTGATTCTTCAAAAGGGTGCTATGCTTATAAAAATGCTCTATAAGGAAATATGATTATTTGAGCAAGATTGTACAAGAAAAATGCTGATTTTTCTTTATGAATAAGACATTTTTTAATTGATGTATACTACTACAACCAAAACAATCTAGATGGGGCCTCTGCTTTAGCCAATTCAATGGTCATGGTCATGGTCATAATAATGTGATTCATGCATTAAGTTAAAATATAATATGATTCCCACTTTTATTTTCTACGAAAAGAAAAAGTACAACAATAAGATTAAGAATTTTTCCAAATTAATGAAAATGGTATTCATTGCTTGTTGTCAGCTTTTCTCAATGACTCGTGGTAGGTTGACATGCATAAAAACACAAAATCAATGCTATGTATGGCTCAGTATTAAAGCTGGAACATGGAGAGATACTTTAACGCTCATCGAAGTAAGAAAAAGTTGTTCTTATGTAATATTTAATGTGTCTTTTAATTGTAGCATAAAAAAAAAATTGTTAAAATAAAAAAGACATTAATTGACCACATAAAATTAAGATAGTGCACGCTAAAGGGTATAATGTAACTACTTTTTCTTAGGATGTGCCATCCCTTTTTGTGAGTCCCCAAATGGCCATTGGAAAATACAGATCCTATTATTGTTATGATTAATTTTCTAACGTTTTGGGCTTTTTTTGGATGACAAAAATCTTCAAGCTGAAATTATCCAAACAGAGTATTAAGCAAAAGAATATGGTTTCATACTCTTTAGAAGTTGTAGAATAGAAACAGCCAACAAAATCTTAAATCTTGTGGCTTCTCATTCATGTGGGGAAGTTGCAAGTTGAGAAAGTGCTTATCATGTCATTTTCACAGCTAATCTGTACAAAGTGTCCTTATTTATCAGTAGTATTACCAATAAGAGATAAAAGACAAGTTGCTGATAATAGCTCAGTTGACGTATGAGAGTCGAGTAGCTGAGGATGAAAATATGTGTTCTATCCTTTCAGTATTATTTTTGAGAAGGGTGTAAAGCCTTAATCCTGGACCCGTCACGAATAGAATTGTCTCCTGTGAAGAATACCCGTGATTATCAAAAAGAAAAAAAAAAAAGAAAAAAGAAAAGAAAGACAAGTTGCCCATTTTATATATGCACGCTTTCAACGTGACTTGGACTTGAGTTATATTATATATGTAGGCCATTCTTGCTCTTAACTTTTTATCTGGCTCTATATATGAAGATTATTGTTTATCAACCTTATCACTATTAGGGTGTGATGGGTAACTTGTACTTTATAGAGCCAAATTTTTAATTATTTTTTTGTTATTGATTTCAAAACATGTGTTTAATAGTTCGTTAAACACAATTAAACACTCCATAAAGGCTTAAAAAAGATTCTAAATGTTGTCGTGAAAAAGTTGAGCTCTAAAGTAATTCCTGTCCCTACCTGTTGAAACTTGTTAGGTCCTTGAAGGCAGTTTTGGGTAACTTGCTTGTTCAAAAATAATAATAATAATAATAATATTGTCAAATGATCACGAGAGGATGAAATCTGTGTTCGTGAGATCACTTAAAAAATCTTTGTTTATGAAATTACTTTGGAAACGCACTTGCAATTACGATTTTTTTTTTTTTTGTAATTGCAATAACGAATTTTTAAAACATGCATGAAAAAATAAATTAAAATCATGCAAGATTACAAAGACTTATACTAAAAATAAGGAAAAAGTTCGACCATTATAGTCTTAAGATAATTTTTCTTTATGCAGAAAATTGTCTTAAAATAAGGATAAATTATATTTCGTCTCTTGGACTGATTGAACTTTTGATGAATTGGTTGAGAAAAAAAAAGTGTAAATAATACACTAGCCTAGTAAATTCATTTTTTTTTTCATTTAAAAGAATGGAGTGACCGAGTGACAATAATATTAAGTTGTGAACTAATTATCTTAAAAAGTTAAATTATTGAGTAAAGACATGCGAATAATTCTATTACATCCTCTAATAATATATGTAAATAAACTAATAAAGCTCAAATCAATAACTAATCCAATTTCGCGAGCTATAATTAAAATATTAAAATAAGTAGATCAAATAACATTTTATCTATCTAAAAAGCTTGCTCAAATAAATTTTTGTTCCATCAAGTCCAAAATCTTAGATTTTACTTTCTTTTTTCTTAACTGAGATACATAATTAGAATTGTCAATAATTTAGTTAAAATTAATAAAGGATTTTTTATTTTTATTTTTTCATTTGCCACACTTATGATCATTGTATTTTATTTTTGGTCAGGAGTAGCCCAAAAGAGATAGGCTTGGGCCACAGTGCAGCATCCCAACAATGCCCATACACATAAAATGAAATAACCAAACTACCCTTAATAAGAGGATATGCTTTCTGGTGGCCCTTAGTGGATAATAGCACTTCCCAAAAGATATGACTTAAAATTTATTTCCAACCTTTGAATGAAATATCTTTCTTTTCTCAACTCTCATTCATTGGAGTTCCTTCACCATGGCTCCTCTCACAAACTTGCATGGAGTCTCCAAAACTTTAACTCCCATTACATCATGCCTTCCAAATGCACATAGGAATCTAAAGAGAGGACAAGTGGTTGGATTTCTAGGAAGCAAAACACAGGAATTATCAGAATGTCAAGTTCAGACTACAAAAAGAGCAGCAGCAATAGGCCTTGCCTCTATAGTTCTCACAGGTCAATTCAATGACAAGATTTCACTAGCTAAAGATAATGGCTTCTGGTATGATGAACCTTTGCCACAACCAACTGTCACTAACAGTAAGCTTTCTTGTATCTAATTAACACATAATACTTGGCAAATAAAATGTGTTGAGATTAAGCTTTCATTGAAAAGGAGGTGAACCGGAGCAGTGATACAACTGTTCCTTCATGACCGAAAGGTCATGAGTTTGAATTCAGGAAACAACCTGTGTGTAATTATCCAAGGGTAAGACTGCACGTACAAGGATTTCCTCCACCCGACACTCGCTAATCGAGTTTAACGGGAAGTGATTTTTATTAAGCTTTCATTGCTTTCATATTTGATTTTTGTTTCACTTGTCACTAAGACAATTCTGAGTGGTAGTTTTTATCTTTTGATGTGAATATTTTATTATTTGGTTAGATATTGCAAATGAGAAAACGGGGACTCGTTCTTTTGTTAAGAAGGGACTCTTCATGGCAAATATTGGAGTTAAAGGAAGCGTGTATAGGATCAAGAAATATGCATTTGATCTTCTGGCTATGGCTGATTTGATTACAGAAGACACACTCAACTATGTTAGGAGGTACCTTAGACTCAAGTCTACATTCATATACTACGATTTTGATAAGGTTATCTCTGCAATTCCAGTGGATGAAAAACAGCAACTAACTGATATGGCTAACAAATTGTTTGATAATTTTGAAAAGGTATTGCTCTTTCTTTCTTTTATCTTTCCCCACAAAATTGAGTATGTTATAAATAGCTACTGGATTAACAAAATTGAGCTTGTGATGCAATGACAGCTTGAAGAAGCTACAAGGAAGAAAAGTTTACCTGAAACAAAATCATGCTATCAGGAAACTGAAGTTATGCTTAAAGAGGTCATGGACCGGATGACTTTGATGTATAAAACAATTTGACATGATTTTAATCAAGTTGTGTTACTATTTCTCTTATCAAAATCAAATTGTATAAAACAAATTAAGAAATTAGTTCAAACTGGAATTTATCTATTTTCTATTCAACAACCATCTCACATAAAAACTTAAGCTGATAAGATAGACCTTTAATGATTTTATATATCATCTTTATAACATATTCTTTCACGTAAGAACCCTTTCCTTCAGAATTGAACTCGATGGTCATGGAGGCTCTGATATCATATTAAATAATCATATCCTATAAAAACTTAAGCTGATAAGTGATAGACCTTCAATGATTTTGATCTGTTTTTCATGAGTTCTCTAATCATATGGTGCTTTGAATTGTTCAAACCAGTGACTTGACCGTTTAACCAAATTTTCTGGTCAAATCAGCTCTAGTTTTTAAATAATTGTAAATGCATTGATATCATCATAAATGTATAACATTCAGCAGCATTACAAATAGAACTATAAGAATGAGAGATTTATCAACTAAATACTTAGTAACTTGTTCACTATACAAGCTATATGCATTATGTTAGAATTAAAGCTTTTTTTTGGTTTTATCGTAGTAATCATACAAATATGTTAAAACAATATATTCATTTATGTAAAGATTAGAAATAGCTCAAGCGAGACTCTGTAGGACGTCCGTTTGTGTGACGCCGAGGTGTCCCAATTTCACAAGCATTCACTCTTGACGCAAACCTTAGTGAGCATAGTGACTCACCCGCTGAAGAATGTTCAGGTGAGATGTTTACAAACATTAATGTCTTTGAGTCCCCACCAAGACATGGCTGTTCAACATTGTATACAATAGATTAGATCATCATTTCAAATGTTCAGAAGATAGCAACCAAGATAAAAATCAAACATTGTAAAAATCAATCCATGACATGAATTATCTATGGTCTCTATCTTTGTAATATGATTTATTTACTACATAATAAAGGATAAAACATTAGTTTTGTTTTATCACTATTTAGAGATGCATATCATTCATCAAGGTAAGAAAAATCTGGCAATATTATAGAGTTTAGTATAGTAAAGACTAAAGAATACCTTAAAATAAGAAAATAATAATAATAGAGAAAAGTTATATTTACAAACTTTTTGTTTACAAACTCTTACAAACTACACTATGTCTGACCAATAATACACTCTTGAGTAGAGTATTACCGGTCAGACATAGTATAATTTGTAAGTTTGTAAAAAGAAGTTTGTAAACAAATCCTTCCCCGTAATAATAATAATCACCTGAAGTAGATATGTAAGCTTTGAGTTCCTGAATGGGACATGATCCTCCTTTTTGGCCAAGGCAAATATCACATCACTTAATGATGATAGACTTTTATTTATTGCCTAATTACAAAGGAAAAAAAGTTTAGATTATTGGAAATCAAATAAACAGAACTATGTGAAATAGAAAACATCATTGCATTACATACTTGAGTTTCTTTTAACCGGTCACCGGTTGATCCACTCTTTGAAAGGCGTTCACTCCCAGCAAGATCAATAAGATTTAGAATACCTTGTACTTGTTGGTCAGTGCTCTGGCAGAACAAGAAGATAGGTTGCAATTTGATGCGTATTAGATTGTTAGTATTTGTATGGAAGATTGGGACAGAAATTAAGAAAGGAATAGGAAACATGGTTCCAAACTTCCAATTATTATCAAAGGAGAAACATGTATACCTCATTTACACCATATATTCGAAGAGTGAATACAAAATGACTTCTTGAAGATTGTTCATTTATCTGAGTTTTTCCCACAGATCTAAAAGGAAATAAATAGAAAAGCAAATATAGTTAAATTTGGCATCCTAAAGTGAAGTATTATAACTTCCAGTTATAAATAAATCAAAATAATTTTTTGGAATAAATCATCTAGTATTCGCCTGCCAACAGGCGGCGACTAATCCAGATTCGAACCGAGTAAGACCACAAGGGTGACAAAACCCTCCCTACTAGGTTTTAACATAACCACAAAGAACAAACACTTGAAGCCTAGAAAGGAACCTTGTAAAGTAATTACCTGCTACTTGCAGCTTGATTTAAAAGAAATGCAACCTCTCTTATACTCTTAACATCCACTATTGTAAGATCAGACACGTGTGTATTTCCATTTGCATCATGTTTGATTGTGTATTGCTTTCCAGGAGAACCATTTTCTAGGCGTGTTGCATCTGATGTTGACTTATTTGTAGACAACAGATCACGAATGGTTTCATTGTATATTTCCAGCATTGACACCTGTTAGTTATTATGAAGGAAAAACCTCATGTCTCAACATCATATTTGAAAATTTATAAACATTGCAATGATGAGTGAATAAAGAAGAAAATACTCTTATGTGACCTGCATTTCATATTTCCAGCCTTGGGATTGCAGAGATTGTCTTGTTTGAAATATTTGTTCTAGTGAACGAGGTATCAGGCCCTTTTCTTCTGGATGTCCAGGCCTTCCCATCATTGTATAGGTTTTCCCTGACCCTGTCTGACCATAGGCAAATATGCAAACCTGGAAAAGAATAGAATCCTAAGTGCTAAACATGTATGCACACAAATTGATAAACATGCATCTTATAAATTTATGAAGTCTTTTAGAATTCTTTTTTTCCTATAACTTACTTCCAATCGTGCAATGGCTTTCAGCTATGTATATAATGTAATTTGAAATGCTATATAGGGTATAAAAGACTCTAAAGAACCAATTCAACCCAAAAACTTAAGCTGTTAGGTGAGGGCCTCTTTAATGGTTTATATTATACTCTAACACGCCCCCTCACACGAGAGCCCACTGGATTTGAAGGGTGGATAATGCACAGGCTCACCTACCTGTGCTAAGAAAATTCCACAAGAGAAAGTGGGAGACGGTGATAATTGAACCCGGGACACGAGGCTCTGATACCATGTAAAGAACTAATTCAACCCAAAAGCTTAAGCTGTTGGGTGAGGCTACATTAATGATTTTATATATTTCAACAAAGACAAACTTAGAAATTACCTTATAACCATCAAGAGCACTTTGCACAAGCTGTGAAATTTCTATGAAAACTTCTTCTTGTGATGCGTCGGGTGCAAAAACTTTATCAAATGTAAAACAATGTTTTTGGCCTAAAAAAAAAAGTAGCAACATAAGTTACAACATGATTCAGTGATAAACTAAAACAAGCATACATCAATAAGAAAAAGAACAACTTCAATGACAGCATCATGAGTTATATACCACTTTGGGTCAATTCAATGCCTCGTCCAGAAGCTTCCATTGATGTGGGATAAGATATAATCTTGCCTTCTGTGCTACAACCTTCATCAGGTAACAAAGGCCGCACTCTACAGAACACGCGGATGTTCCCTTTTAGTTCCTGTTAAAATGGAGATTAGTACTGTGTGGAATTTATTTATTTATAATTTATTAACAAATTTTGGCTCAGGTAATTACCAAAATGGTATTATGTAATTCTTTCCTCAGCTTCTCCCCTTCTATAAGTTTATATTCTGCATCTTCCAAGCGTGTCTGCAACTCATCTACAAGTTTTTGTTGCTCTTCATATTCTGTTCTTGTCTCAATTGCAGATATATCAGAAACCTGATGAGCAACAAAAGCCATCATATCATAAGTCCAATGAGACACTTTCTTTTACTTTTTTTTCTTTATAAATTTATACCTCATTACCTGTAGTTTCTTCTCTGCAGTTGTTAGCAGTTCTTGTAATGCCTTTATCTGGTTATCTTGCAAAGCACATTTTTCCTGTGCAGGAAATTCATCATCTCATGTCTACATAATAACAAGAGGATGTGATATTTACCAAAAAGGAAACAGGATATAAATCAACCTCTAGTTCATTTGTTTTTATAGTCAAGTTGTCCAGTTCAGAGCAGGACTTTTCTGAAGAATCTTTAAACTTCACTAATTCAGAAGATAAAGTTTGCACTTGAGATAATTTGCAGTCGCGATCATCCCTAACTAGTTGCAACTCTACTCGAAGAGATGCAACTTCACTAGCCAAAGCATCCTTCTGTTTAGTGGCCTCTTCTTGAGAAGACTAATAAAACAACCAATGAAATTATGTGAGATAGCAGTTGCATGTTAGTAGAATTTCATGAAGGACAGTAATAATTAATCCAGAACCCAAATCTACTTATGGTTGAAATTTATAAAAAATAAAGCACACCTACAAAAAATAAAATAAAATCCATGTGGCATCTGCTCTTAAAACTCCACAATTTTATTTTATCTTTTTGAATAAGAAAAGAGATTCATTGTTTGGGATAAAGGTGTTGTTGATGTTGAAAAAAAGAAATTCATTAAGATAAAAGAGAGATACAAAACTCTACAAATTTTTAAATAGATCTATCAAACTTGCCAATCTCTAGTCCTTCCCATTAAGGACTATTATGAGATCTTTAGGACACTTCGTGATTTTTTTTTTTTTTCGAAAAAAAAAACACTTTTGCAGATATACCTAAGATCAAGTAGTTTCTGCCAATATCCAGCATAACAAATAAAGAACCACACAGCATTAGGTGCTTTAGGATCAACACAATATAGCTGTCTGATAAGGTTATGCATGCAAGGGGCTCTTTTGAATGATTTGGATGTATTTGTGCCTTTTCAAGGAGGGATCTTTAAATGACTGAGTTAGATAAAAAATTATCTTAAGAACTGTCAATCTCAATATTATCATCAGTGATTAGACTCAAGCAAATGTTTTAAAAGATAAAACATTTTTTTCTCTATGTTCATTTTCTTGAAAAGGTCAAAAGAAAATTCTGAAGGTTCTAAACATGTAGTAATGTGTTAATGCTTTAGGGGGAAAGAAATTTCTGTTACTCTTTATCATCGAAAGCTCATCATTACAAGAACCATGGCTATTTGTTTAACAATGAACCATTTTCTTTAAGAATTTATTTACTAACAACCTCAAATCACTCAGCCTAAACCAAACAAAAAATACATCTTATCCTTGAGTGAAGAGCTCAAGAACTCTACAAGCATAATTTAAGTAAACTCTCCAAAGTTGTGGTTGTGCACAACAAGATCTACTTTGTATGAAATAGAAACAGCAACAAAGAAAGAAAAAATACGGCCACCAATGAAGACATAGTATAGTCATTCAAAAACATGAAGATTTTTCTAAAATCTATCGCTTTCAATGTATTTTAGAAGTATCATTTTCTAAACATCCCCATTAGCCAAAATCAAGAATGAACAAGTCATAAATATCTTCCTAACGGCCTATTCTCATTAACAAAAGTTGCACCTTACACATTTTATTTATTAAAAGAGTTATAGGTATCTGCTAAAATTCCAAGTATTTTTTTTCTTACCCCTAATTACTTGAATTCCAAATTGAAACAGCTCACACACCAAAGCAAACTCACCACAGACAAAGTAAGTTGGCCCTTTAACATGGTGAGGTTCTCCACTACAGTAGCCTTCTCTTTCTCTACACGCTTAAGTTCTTCCTCAACCGAAGAAAGCTCTGAATGAAGTTTTCCATTGTACTGCTGTAAGCTTGATATGTAATCTTGTAACTGCTTATACATGTCATTGAGGGATGATATCTGCAGAAATCCATTGATGTAGACATTTAGTTATACGAATAGTTCCTGACATGACTAATAGTATCAAATAAGAAGTGCAAAGAACTTATTGAATTAGAATTGCACTGTTATTTTACCTTCTGATTTGCACCTTGGAGCTCTCGTTGAGCTCTTCCAAGATCCTCCGTTAGTGTAGTCTGCGACCTCTCAATGTTAAGCCTAGCTTCTCTCTCTTTAACAAGAGATTCCATTGCCACCTTGTGTTTTCAAAGAAAATAAAAAGTATATATGTATTATTAACCTTTCCCTTGCTTTTTGCACCAAAAAATTCACTCTTGAAATCACACTGCTCTGAAAATCTCACTTACTGATTTATCTGATTCTTCCTTCATTAATTTCTCTTGCAGAGAAGTGCAATTCCTTCTCATTTCCACAATAATTGAATTTAGTTCTTCTTCCTTGATTTTGAGCAGCAACTCTGTAATTAAATGAATCTAACCACATTAGCACACAAACTTTAGAGGATTTTACAAAAAAAACAAAAGGGAAAAAAAGAAAAGAAAAATAAACTTTACCTATTTCCATGGATTTTTGCTGGGCTAATTCCAAAGAATTCTTTAACTTTTCTTGCTCAAGTGAGTAGCTCATCTCTAGGTCTTGGAACCATCTGATGCAAACCTTAAGCCTTTTTATATAATCCATCATATTTTCACATCTTTCCTAAAAATACAAAGTCAAATGTTAATACATGGTAATGGTAATCAAGCAGTACTTCAAGAAGTACTATGTGCCATGTATGTCAACTAAAGGCCCACATCCTTGTACATAGCACTTGACATCCCCTTTGATCTCAAACCCAAATAGCCAAAACAAGAAATGAAGAAAAATATATAAACTCAAGAAAGCCACAAACTTTAGCTGACCTTATAATTAAACCTGTCCTTCCTTTTGGCTTTCTCATTCAGCAAAGCCTCCACATCCTCTCTTGTGAATTCTATAATTCCGTTATCTGACCCAGCATTGCTTGTTGGAGTACTACTCGGGCCAAGATCATGTCCACCATTTACAACTGCAAAAGTTGGCCTTGTTCTTCCGTTAATTGGAGTTCCCACCATTCTTTTTTTTTTTTCTCTGCTCACACTTGTTGGTCTTTGTCTATGAGGAGCTCATCAACCACAAACTTGGGAAACCCCAACAAAAAAGATCACTTTTTTATTTTTTATTTTAAGTGGGACGTTTCACTTATACTAAGCAAATATGAAAACTACCCATGACTGAAATTGAGGTGAAGATGGAAAACAAATCATGGGAAATGAGAAAAGGGGGAACCTTTGAGCTTTGAAGGGCTTGAAGGTGTGAATGTGAGTGATGTTGGAGGGCAGTTCTAGTTCATGGTGACCATTTTGAAGCTCACCACAATAAGGAAAGAGAAAATGTTGTTTATGTATGTGAGAGAGAGAGAGAGACTAGTACTGTGGGGCCATGGCTTGTGTTGAAAGCTAACAAGATATCAAAGCCTTTGCTTTAGCAAGAAGAGATTGGTGATGATCCACACACATACACACACTCACAAAGAAGGAAGAAGAAGAGAGAAAGATACTTAAAAAGAAGAAAAGAGTTGAAAAATAGAAATAGGTTTTATCTTGTTATCTTGGTCATTGAACTTCCAATAGATTGTAGATCTGTTTGTGTTGTGTTTGGTACTGTTTGTCAGCTAAGACTTTGTTTAGATTTTTACTGCTCTTCTTTTTTTGAACTTTTAAATTCAGCTCTTGCTCATCACGTGTAAGATTCGTTCTCCCATGCAATTCATTAATTACCAAACAAATGTTTTATAAAAAATAATATTTACTCTTCTTCATATAAAACTTAGAGATTAATGTTTATAAGATAATTTTATTTTTTCTGTATATATAAAAGTGTATAAAGTTTATATATTTTTTTGTCTCTTCTCACATGGACTCCACGTACTTTTATCTATGTGTAGAATATAAAATTATCTCTTACAATATGAGAAACGTTAATTTCTAAAACTTTTATGCAAAAAACAAACAAACTAATTTATCCTAATGTAATTATCATTAACTAATCAATTAAATATTTTTAATCATTAAAAAATCTCTTTTGAACAAAAAACAAACTTGTAACTTGTAAGTACGTCCAAGACCAACCGTCTTTATTGTATTTGTTGTTGCCTTTGTTTATAATGCTTATAATGCTGGTTAGATTGAGCATAGCTATAATATATATACCTATTGATTAAGACTTCAACAAATTGAAAAGTATATGTAACAGACTTGGGCGTTGAAAATCATGCTTATTTATATGTGAAAGAATTATGAAAGGCTATGTGCTACCTCAAATATGAGCATATAATCCTTTACAATACCCTCTCTTGTTATTTCAATATTTATTTGGCTATGATTTTAGAAAGATGGCAATAATATAGAATAAAGTGCTGCATAATTTGTTGGGTTCAACATGATTACCATAAGTATAAACAAGACAATAATTATGTTAAATAATTTGTGTTGTAGTTACCTATGTTGCACCGACACCGACACGGGACACGGGATACGACACGACACGACACTCTGACACGTTAATTCTAAAAAATGTTAAATTTCAACACGTTAAGACACATTTTGATATTATATAATATTTTTAACTTATGTAATGTATATTATATTTAATATTCAATAATTTAATAAAAAAATAAAGCTAAACTTATAATAATCATCAATTTTGCAAAGAAACATAAGATATCCCAAATATTTATATTAAACTTAATAAAATAGTAACCGTAATCTAACGAATCTAATAGTTTGAACTCAAAATGCAACGCAACATAACTTTTGAATCTTTTTTGAGTCTTTGCAATGGGTATTGGAGTGTCGAGAAGTGTCGGACACGACACGTCAAAAATTTTAAAGTGTCGGTGCTTCATAACTAGTTACATTTCTATAAGAAAATGTTAGATGGTAAATCCAGTTGGATCTAAAAATTTCATCCCCAAATCTGCAGGAGCAAAAGAACAAGATTGGTGACAAAAATAAAATAAGTCCAATTTAATGTTCTTTAACTAAAAAATAGGAATAAATTAATTACCATTATTCCTTCCCCTGCTGTACCAGGATCCAACAGAACTACCTCCAAATCCAAACTTTGCCAACCTGCTCAGAAATAAACAACTATTATTTTTTGTTGCTTAAGATGAGAGTTAAGAATTTTCCCTTTCATTTACTAGAAAAGTTAATGAACCAGCTTTTTCTGCCAAGTGCCAACTTAGCATAATGGAAACAGTGAAAGCATGTACCATACCATCCCACATGATACAAGTAGTTGGTGTTTCCATTCACTTCTTGGTACTCAGCTGCATTCCTTGTCCTTTTCCTATGACATCGCTTTTGAGGCTTCTTCTTCAACTATATGCTTATTGAATTTGACTTATCTTCCTCTTTATGCACCAGAAAAAAAGTCTTGTCCTATGCGTCTTGCATTACTACACTAATAGTGAACATCACTTTCCATGTTAAGTAGAATAAAGCTCAAAATTCCTTGTGTCATAATCTCACTCTAGATGTTCGGATCTTGCCCTTAGGAAGCTATGGACTGTCGGCAAAAGATCAAAGGTCTCAATCAGAAACCATCTGGTCTTTGTTTAGCACAAACTAAGTCTTGCAGGTTACTCACTCTATATCTCTCTTCTCATGTAATATGTATTAGAAAAATATAAAACAATTTCACATACCAGGTTGAGTTATTGGATGAGAGTTATTTATGAGACTCCGTGATCAAGGAATAAATCTTTGTTGCTACTGTTACATCAAAGATTCAGTACATCCCACTAATAGAAATATTACATGTCAGCAAAAGTTTTTTTTTCTGTCAAATTTTTTTTATCCCCTATGATGTGTAATGCTCTCATTGGTGAGATGCACTGAATCTTGGTGCAACAGTAGCACAAAAATTTATTCATGATCAAGTTCGAATTTTCAATGAATCACAAGTTCAAATTTTACAACCCTATTTTCTAGTAGACTTAAGTCAGCATAAGGTAGAATAAAAAAAATGGACATGTATAATATCCATGTTAGAGAAATATAAAATCCATTCACTTATCAACTTGAGTTGTTGGGTAAAATAGTTGTTTATCAATGTGAAAATGGGTAGGAAATCTTACTATTGATTTTAACAAAAAAAAAAAAGATAGTAAAAAGAAGCCGCCTGTGTAATTTCCTTTGCTAGATTGTGAAGCAATGAAGTGCTTAATGCTTAAGCATGTATAAAGGTTCATTTTCAATTAGAAACAGATATCAATTAGGTGCGATGAATATAATAACTGCATAGTTGTTTGGTAAGTATTGAATATTATAGTTCAATAAAGTCATTGATCTACCAATAACAAATCCTTATTGACTTTATAATTATAATTTGGGTGTATTATACAAAGCTTTTGGTCATAACTCATAAATAATTTACTACTTACAACAAAGGGTACCTTTCGATTTGTTGGTTTATAAATGATAGAGCACTTTTTGCTTGGTGTGGCTAATTGACTTCCACATGATATAGAATAAACTGAGTTTTATCATTCATGGGAGTAGAGTAATTAAATAAACTCAAGTATAGTTTGTTCGTTTCACTTTGCAGGCCAGCAAAACATGTCTAGCTCAATCGCTTCTCCAAGTGTCATGAATGAATGATTATTCTGGAATCTTTTGCTTTACAATTAAAGCTGCAGGATGAACATTGGTTGACCTAATTGAGTCTTGGAAGCATTTTGGTACTACCTGAATTTTTTGGCCTGCTGGGTTTTTGGAAGCTTACATGATAATATCAACATGTAATTCTTTATTTGTTTCTAGCAAAATTGCTTACCTAGAGAACATGATAATATCCATGTGTTTGGTGATACTAATTTTATTCTTTTAAGTTATTATAGATAGTATCTTAGGAGCTTGATAAATTCGTACTGTGATATTTTTCACTCAATCATCTAAACGAACTATTGAGATCAACGTTTAAAGACTAAATGTGATATTAATGACATTTTGATATGAAAGCATGGACCAATCAATTAAATAGACATAATTATCTTTAAAAAAACCAATACAAACAGCTTCGTCATTATCTTTCTCAAAGGAACAACTATGGTGTTGGTCCCCTCGTCGAACTTGTATATAGTTATTCAATTGTCCCATAAATATCACTTTGTGAAATAAAAGTTGACCCAAAAATATTAAAGTGGCATGTGATAGTTCAACCCCCTTTCATTTTGTATAATGTTCGCGATTTCGATTATTGTGATGAAATACTTTTCTATAACGTTCAACATGGGGATGTAGCTCAGATGGTAGAGCGCTCGCTTAGCATGCGAGAGGTACGGGGATCGATACCCCGCATCTCCATTTGTATCATTTGTTGATTTCTCTTTTTCAAATTCAATTTTAAACGGAACAGTTGAGTTGTCTGTGTCTTTCTGATTAAAAAACCAATGGAATCTGTCTTTGCAATAAACTGATGTTTAAGGTTCGGGGGTGTTTGGTAGAGGATAAAATTTTTTTTACTAGGAAATACAATTTTTGGTTGATCAAAATATTACCGGGGAAATATTTGCAACAGTGTTATTGTGGAACATTTTTCATTACACAATTTTTCACTTCCCCATCCATATCCAAAATACCATGTCTTAGGATGTGTTTTTTGGAACAGTGTTATTGTGCCAAAAATCAATACAAACCACTTTTCCTATCCTTTCAATTTGTATAGTATTTTTTTTCAATAGCTTGTACCAAACGTGGTATACACCAATACCCACTTACACTTCCCCATTAAACTAAAAATAAAACCTATACCAAACACACCCTTAGGGAGTGTTTGGTATGAGTATTTGGTATGGAATGATGGGAAAGTGGGGTGGAGAATATTTATTTACCATGTTTAGTATAAGTATTGTAAACAAAATGACAAGAAATATTTTTACCCAGTATTTATTTTTTGAACTACACCAAGGCAAATTTTTGTTCCATTTAATCTTTGGTATTTTTTTTCCTTGATCTTGGATTCTCAAATGGTACATTTAATTCACTTTTTTCCAAAAAAAGCAACTTTTGATGATGGCATATTAAAAAATGAAGGGTATTTTGATAATTTCATTCACATTCTCATCAATATTTTACTATCAACCAAACATAGCATCAGTAAAATTAACCCAACTTTTCTTGCAAATTTTGGCCAACCAAACACTTTTTTGTAACTTACCCTAGATAAAAAAATTCCTACCAAATCCCTAACAATCTTTTTTTCTCGGTTAAAAAAAATATCTCTCATACCAAACGCTCCCTTAAGGTTTACACCAAACCAAGTTTATTTGTGCTCCACTTATTTAGCTCCAAAATTTGCTTCATTGCATAAAATCTAAGGCTTTAATTTTTCTATAGTAAATGTAGATAAATTATTTACATTTATTTTCAAAATGACATCGTTTTAGGTTAAAAAATTAAAAAATTATAATAAAAAAGATTATTTTGGACTCAATGTAGATAATTTATGTACATTGATAGGAGAAAAAGCCAACCCATATTCTAATGCCATTCTATTTCTTGAACAAGTGTGCCTATATAAGAGATGAAGTTTCATTTTCCATTTGGCTTTTGGGTGGGATGTGTTAGTAGGAGTGGCTGTGCAAGTCTATGGTGAGGTTTTAACTAATCAGCAGTGTTTTAGGTCCATTTGTGCCATTCCCATTTCGTTACACACCTGGTATATGTTTCCTCTCGCTCAAGACAATTGTCCTTTTATTAGTAACATTTTTATTGTTCATATATGCAGTGTGCTTCATATAATTATTATTTGAAGTAGGCAAATGTTAAATTTCCTTAGAGATCTTTTGTCTTCAATTGAGTTTTCATGACTAATATGTTATTAAACTTACGAATAAGAAGTACCTACCACTGCATCTTTTGCATCTTGTTTTCAGCATGAAACAAATGTTTATATAACTTCTATTGCAACATTAAATCTTTTGCCCTTTGAAATGGACCTATATCATGTCTCCAAAATTTACCTGAATATATGTTATTAAATATAATTTATGCTTTGGTGGAAGAAGATCGAGATCAGGATTTTTAATATTGCACTGGTTATTCCTCATATTACTCCCCAGTTACTATATAAATTTAGTCCTATGCTTTTTTCTTTTGATGATCACAAATAACAAATATTAAACAGCTCTAATATTCTTTAAAAAAAAGTGCAATGTGTCTTATACGCCACAATTTTCTTTTTATTCCCTTCTTTTTGTACATATATTTCACATAATCAGAAGGCCTATTAATGCATTAAGTTTGTTAAATGTTTTGTATCCATTTGCATAGAAGTTGCTATTAGATTGTAACAAACTGTAGTAGCACAACCAATTATTCTTTTAAAATTACACTGCTGCTGCAATTGTTTAAGCCACATCCTTTCCCTTTCCCTGAGGAAGATCACAACCATGTTGGCTCTTTGGTATTCGTATTTCTAAAAAAATGTCATTATACATATATGCTTCTATATTCTTCCAATCTGCATCCTCTGGCATCTCAAGCCTTCTTACATATCCATATTCCCACCAATTGCCACACCTCCAGTCAATTGCCTTTGAGTCTCTTTGCTGCTGCTTCCACTGTCCACTAATTTCCACAACCTTTCCATTATCAACATGCACTTGAATGTTATTTTTCCCAGTTCCTGTTTTGACAAACCACTAGTGTCACACAAGTTTTGACTAGTTAAGCACTTTTCTTATTTAATTTAAGGAAACTTAATTGGTTATTTGATTGAAAGATCCACTGTACGTATAATAGGTTAATTTTCTGTTGTTACTATTACCTATAACCTGGTAAAGAAATTTTTTTATTCAAGGTGAAGTCTCCCATTTCTTCAAATGATGAGACAGTTTCATTGTTTCATAACTTGTTTAACACAGATTCAGTTTGCAAAAAAAAAAGATTAAAGCTATTTTGCTATTTGTGTTACCTGGTATTTCTGCTTTTAATATATAGCCTTCATCTGTTTGACGCCAATCCACAGTGCTTTGGCCATAGCTCCTTAGATGAGATAACAAGACATCTGACTCAAACTCCCATAGAGGGAAGGCATCAGAAGGATCAAAGAACTTCCCAAACAACATTGGACTGAAAAGTGATCCATCACCAAAAGCCTTATGCACTGTTGGATTAACCTGGCTGAAGAATCTTTTGAATGCTTCTTCTGCCAATGAAATACTCCATTTATGTGGAGTTTGATCTTCTGTTTGAACCTCAAGCTTCTTATTAGAACTGGTCATTGTTGCTTGGAAAGACTGAAAAATTGTGAGGCTTTGGTGGAGAGAGTTTTGTGACCTTTCTCTTATAATAGTGTGAAAGAAGCTATCTCATAAAACACAGAACAAATTCCTTTGGCATATTTGGAGGGGTGTAAAGTTAAAGGGAATATTTTCTTTTCTAGATCTTTTCTTCTTTCTAAAGAGAAACTATGTCAGGCATTTTACGTATGGCTAAAGGAAATGTGGTTGTGGTAGCCCATTGTAATTTGGTTGTCTAGCACAAAATGTGGAAAAATATGATAAAGGATACTAATCAAATTAAAAGTCTTGGGCTATTATGGATGCTCTAGCAGAATCTGGAAGTCCTTTTAGGAATGCTTTGGGGTAATTATGTGTAATATAATAAATAATGCTAGTTGAATTCTTGTCATGCTTTTTTTTTTTTATAAACCACATTTATCCTCAACGGGAGACAATTTTGTTCGGGGCGGATCCAGGATTAAAACTTTTAACCCTTCCCAAAAATGGTACTGGAGAAGATCGAACACATATTCTCACCCCCACCTGTAGTGCTATTGATTAGTGACCGCTCATACCTAGCAACACAGCTAAATTTCAATATCTTTGTTAAATGCATAATCAGATCTGAGGAATTTATTTTGGGTTGGCCACACAAGTTCAATCCATTGGATCAACCACTAAGGTCCATTAGAGGGGTTACACCCTACACCCTTAGGCCCTAAGGTTAAACAAATGCTCCCTCATCACACACCTACACCTAATGGGATCCACAATGGCAAAAACTGTTAGGCTCTCATGTCAAGGGAATATTCTCTCACCTACAAATATCCACACTACTCTATTGAGAAGACACTTTTTGCACACAAAATCACATTACTATTACTCTGTCACAATACAGCCACATAACCACCGTGCCCTACACTCTCATCTGAGACCTACTCATAATGATTCATCTGTTGAACGGACTACACTAATTAAGTGGGGCTTGCTTTGTTCCAGGGACCCAAATAAATGAACTTCCCATATTCTTCATTATATGCCTTGCCACAAAGAAAAGCTGTCTGGAAGGAATACTCTTGCATGCTTGGAAGGAATGGGTGTCTATTGTCACGATGCACGTTCTCAATCTAAACGAGCATATTTTTTTGTATGTTTTTTTTGTTTTTTTGGTAAACTTTTGTATGTCTTTTTTGGTAAGGACGTTGAACTTTTGACCGATGGCAATGAAGCTTAAGGGAATGTTAATCATTCAGTATGGGACATCTCATAGACTAGCCTTTTGGGCCAAAGCAAGCTTGGTATCTTTAGAATTTATAGCCCGTCGAATATTGAAGCCACTTTGGAGGGTGCTGGTGATAATATTTGCAGTTATAATCTTTAAATTAGTATGAGCCAAGTTCCCCCCACCTACCTCAAAAAATGTAGCAGTTGGAAATAAAGGTGTTCAATTTCGTTAGGTTCAGCTACGAGTGACAAAGCGAGAAGCAAGAGAAAAACAATGAAAACTGAAAAGAAACATTTGATTATTCACTGAATCAAAAGTTTACAAAGAGAGTTTCTCCTTTTACACAAAGCTCACACTATACATGCAAATATACCAGATGCATGTACTAGACAACTACCAACTATTTAACAACTACTTAACTACCAAAACAGTTTCATATGGACATTACATGGACGAATAGGGCAAAACATATATTGCTGTTTTCCCTATGACGAAACATGCATATTTTAAGCAGATCATTAGGCTGCAATGCATGTTTTTTGACAAACGCTTGCCACCCTTTACATCCATAGCTTGAACATCATAGAAAACACATTCCCATGGATATCATAGGCAGTTATAGGTATCCCTGCCTCAATGTTTTCATTTTCCCTCAACATTGGAAGTAAAAACTCTTCTACAATCTTCTCGGTCAAAATCACTGTGTAAGTACTTTCTCAAAGGACTTGCTGCAGTGAGAAATACATTCCTTGAGGCTTGGAATGTACTCTAAAATGTAGTGCTTGTCCTCTTCGGAATGAATGTTGGAGGGACATCTTGTCATCAAGGAAAGATTGAAAACTGAGAATGAACATTAGGTGGAAAGAATGAAAATAAAAAACAGAACAGAGACATATGCCAACTTTTATTTGTTATTAAAAAAAGAAGTGTTTACGAAGCTCTATCTCCTTTTTTATCTATTTTTTCTCTCTCTTAAAATAGCACTACGTTATATCTTTTAAAATGATAGATACTTTTTTCTTAAAAATTAGACCATATGCCAACTTTTATTTATTTTTTTAATAATATAATATATTTATGATATATATTGTTTACTTAAAGACGTATTCTGTGATCATGTTTTGTAACACTAATTTTCAAGGTGAAATGATTGATATTATTTTAACAAATAATAAATATTTATTTAAAATTTAAAATATAATATTAAATTAAATTAGTAAAGAAAGTGCAAATTATATGTATATATATATGAAATTTTCATATGATCTTTATGAACATTTTCATGTGATCTTCATTATGTCATGTGTTGTTAATGAAAATATTATTTTATATGATCATTGTGAATAAGAAATTTTATATTTTATATTTAGTTTAGTTTGGGCCTATAAACTTTAGTTTACAACTTGGTAAACCTTACAGATTGTGTTAGGCTTTTTTTAGTTTTTTAAAATAGATCAGACCAGACCTATAAATCAAACCTTTAATAGGCTAATAAGCCGTATAGCCTCTAACTATTTTACATAAACTTAATCTATAGCTAAAGCTTCACTTAATATAACAAGTCGCACTAACAAATTATAGTTATGTAAGCAAGATGTCAAGTATATGTTCAAGGAATTCATCACAAGTATTGACAAGTTAATTATGGATTTGGTTATTAAGTTTTGTTAAATAACAGAACATGCTACAATGCCTTCATGTATTAATTAACCTGCTGCGGCAGTTCTGCAGTAATCCACACTATTAAGTCTTATAAGTGGAATTTATGACAATTTAATCATGTTAATATTTTCACGACAACTAATAAATAATTTGCGAAAACTTATTGCGATGAATATGAAGTTAGAGTCAACCTGTCACATATTACTAAGTGTTTTGTGATGTAGTTGAGGATTGTGGCATCACTTTGGGCCATTGTTTTGGGCTTGTTTAAAGTTATTCTTTCCCAGCCCTTCAGCTAGTCCAGCAATTAGCATCATTGTCCTGATTTACTCATACAATGCAAAACTAGGGGCGCAAAATGTGTTGGGATCGTGTCGTGTTAAAGTTTGATCTACAGGTAAAATTATTAAATCTGAATATGATATGTTTTTGTTCATGGATAAAAAATTAAAATCCCCTATTATCTTCCAATGTTAAGTTATACGATCCTTCAATTTTTTTACAATTACAATAGAAAGAAATCATATTTTAACTTATCTTTTTGTAGGAAAATAATAACAGGCATAGAGGTAGAAAAACTTGAAGGGACTAACACTAACACCCCCAATTTTTTTTTTCTTCAAAAAAAAAAAAAAAAAAAAAAACTCAAACAAACAGGGCCAAAACTTGAAGCCCATGAGTGGACTTGAGGAGAGAGTTGTGACTCATGAGCAAATTGGAAGCGTAAGGGCTAAATAAAATTTACTCACAGGCTTAGAAAATAAATTCTAAATAAGTCTACAATCTAGTTATTATATTAGCCTATGACACGTCAATCATCAAATTTCTGATGAATTTCTATCCCATTATATGTTTCTATCCGATTCTCATTCGTTGAGTCTAGAGTCAATGAATGCTCATGAAAACATCATTAATTTTCTTTTCTTTCTTAGAATTGGAACCTCTAAAGGAATTACCAAGTATTTCTTTGAGCATGCACATGAAGGTTGCACCATGGTCTTAGTTGGGAGACGTAAGCAAAGTGTCAATTCAAATCCTACACAGTTTGAAGGTAACTCAATTCTCTGAAATAAGGTAAGACAATCCAAATAACATTGGTTAACAAATCCCCTAAATAAAATACCTTTTTATCTTTTCGGCAGCAGATAATAGCCAATCAACTTCAAGATGGTTAAAGAAGGATAACCAAGGGTACCGGAGTACGAGATCGTTCTCACGAGGATCAGATTTTCAAGCGCTAGTTCCCTAACCGCAATTTAGTTGGACAATTAAGAATAAGATGAAGAGAATTGTGATTGAAGGATTTAAAATTAAGAACAAGCAATAACATAAAAATTCAGAATTAAAAGACAATTGGAAAAGATGATGATTGATTACGAATTAAAAACGAGTGTAGTTAGGGTTTCGACATCCCCCAATCTCCTCAATATGTTATGAAATAAACTGCCAAGAATCCGTTCTTAATATATTGCCAATCAATTCTTTCTAATTTAATTAGGGCTCAATTCCTTGTTACCCTAAATCTATGTGATCTTGAAAGAACTCTAGATCCCCGATTATTCCCCAAGAAAACATGCATTAAGATGCTGAGAATGTTGTTGCGTATGCATATTTGGTGTGAATTGAAAAGCTTTGTCTGTGTTTTGCTTATGGTAATTGTTCCTCAGCCTGGCATTGATAAAAACATAGATAGGAATTACTACAGTGGTAGTAGAAATAACGTGATGAGGGAAGCCTCTTGTAACATCTCAATGGCTGGCTATGTTTGTGGTTTTTCAGGATATGGTATTCTTGAGAAACTTTATCCTTGTTTGGGTAGATTGGAACTTTTTTTTGGTTGAAACTGAAGTTAAGATAAAATGGTAGTTGTATTTGTATGCTCGTATCTAATCTTATTTATATGTCAACCAAAACAGAAAATAAAAAAGAGAACAGAAACACTCATGCATGCAGTCATCAAGGAAAGAAAAAAAAAACTAAAACAGAACATAAACATAAAATATACAAGAATGCAACAATAATTGTTGGGGTCTTACGATACCTTGGTTATGATCTTCATGCATCTTCCCTTTGAGTTTGTTACGATATTCCTCTGAAAGCTTAGGGTCATCTTTATGCTCCTTACACCGATTTAATATATCTCTTGCTTCAAGG